GAAAAAGCAAAAAAAAAAGTTCATTAGACTTTTACAGGTGGTTTCGTCTAAAACTTCAAAGTAAAAGCATGCACTTAGTAAAGTCAGTCTATTGCACAATTATAAGGTGCACTTTGCTGGATGTTGCCATTATCAGCTATGATCAGTGGACCAATGCACACACACACACACACACACACACACACACAGGAATTATTGATGAACATTCCTTCCATATCAGCCAAGTGAAGAGCAAACAGAGTATGTCTCTATTTTACTCTGGACTCCACCTTAGTTTTAAAAAGCTTTTCCATACCCATAAAAGTAGTGTAGTGATAAATAACTCATAAAAACACAACATAAAAGTACTTAGACTGCAATAGATAGATAGATAGATAGATAGATAGATAGATAGATAGATAGATAGATAGATAGATAGATAGATAGATAGATAGATAGATAGATAGATAGATAGTTTTGTGGCAATTTTATTTCAAACGTGTACCTCAACAATCATCTCAAGATGCGCAAATCATGATTTATTTGTCGCTGGGCAGATTTATGACTCATGATCTTTTCTGAGCGGTTAAGACTGCTGTCTAATTTGTACCAGAATAACCCCCCTTACTCCCTCTACCAGCATTTTCACCACACCCCTATTCTTTTGTTTTCCAGGTTTTATATGTTTCTGAAAAAAAACAGCCATTTACCAGCTAATGAAAAGAACCAAATCCCAAGGTACTCTACTGTGTGGAAACTAAATGTGATTAGACAGAGAGGGTGTGTGTGTGTGTGTGTGTGTGTTATGGAAAGTACATGTTAACAACCTGAGAGGGACTTTCAGGTTTTGCACCAATCAAAAAAAAAAATGCATGTTTTGCTTGGCTTGCCTCAAACAGTGACGTGACTCTTCACAATGGGGCTGCTATGCTAAACTTGGAGGCAACCATATAAGTACAAGTCTGCCAGTTTTTGTTGTTTCATTAACTCAACCTCTCTGACAAATATATCATCATAACTGACGAACAGAGCTGCATTTATTTCATGTCTTCATGGCTTCATCATGATTAAGACTGATCTTCTCTGTTCTCCCCATGAAATAATTCCTCATTCTTTGTGCATGAGGACTGTAAGAGGGTAATTGAAAGAGCTAACCCCCTGACCTGCAGTCTCTTAAGAGGCCAGTGATGTTTTGCTTTGTATGAAGCTGCTATATGACACATCGAGTCAGGAATGTGCTAACAGAGACACATACATGCTACAAGTCGGAGAGGAGGGGCGGAGGGAAGATGAGCTAGTGGGGGATATGAGAAGATAATTAGCAAAGATAAGAAACAAACCTATTTCACAACCACTGACAAACTGACTGAGATGTTCGGAGAGGACAGGGTGGGATATATGATGGTGTACAGCAATTTAAAGCAGAGTGAAGAAAGATAAAAATAAAAGTCCAGTGAAGGCTGTAATAAAGATGATTTTATCATTATCATCATTCATCGTTCATGCATCTTCATGTTTATGATATGGCTATAGTTAACGTGACGCCTGCAGTGCTTTATGAACTATATAACAATACAAAATTAAACTCAAGTCAAAGGCTAAAACTGAGAAAAAGCAGAAAGGCAGCAAAACACTGAAGGTATAAAAACCTGTCTGTAAGCAAAGCATATATTTTAATAAATGATTGTTTGGTGTCAGTGTTGGTCTTGAGGCTGCACTCACCAAGCCTTAAATCACAAACCTCAGTTATAAAACTCACTACCTGCTGCGCTCAGTGATGCATGTTCAAACAACCTCCGCAACAGACATGAATGAAATCTACACCAAGGCATGGAGCATAGAGTGAAACATATACGTAGATGTAATCAAAGTGCAGATATACTCAATGCAGATATGCAGATACACTCAAAGTAAAAAAAAAGTGAAAGGCGTGGCTATGAAACATGTGGTTGTGAGCAGACTGTGTCAGGCTTCTTCTCACAGCATGGGAGGTTTGTTTGCTTTGAGACTCACGCCCTCTAGTGACTGGAAGCTGGATGTGGACGTTTTCAGCCCAGGAGACTGCACTGGAGGAGGAGGGGTGGCAATGATGTGGTCATCCAGTAAATTCACTGCGCCTCATTGGCCATCAGAAATCTACTTCATGAAACTTGAACCATACTGGAGGGTTGGTTTAGCCTCACAAGGTCACCACTTGGATCAAAACTGAAATATCTCAAAAGCTGCTGGATGGATTGTTATAAAATTTCGTGCAGACATCTGTGGTCCACATGGGAATAGGATTTACATGCAATTTGCCACAGATATCCAAGGATAAATTCTAATGAATTTGGTGATCCCTGAACTTTTCATCTAAGCTAGGTACTCCTGTTCTCAGCTAAAATTCCTTTTCATTTGACTTTTCCTCAGACATATGCTCATATTCTAAAATTATTCAGTTCTAAAAAAAGATCAATTTGAAATTTACCATATAGGGATATTTTAACAGTCTACAGTGTACTGAATTTTCTCTTTTACCAGTTTTACTTCCTTGAATGAAATAAATCATTTGTCTCCACATGAGAGTACAGGTGACTCTCCAGTGTACCAGTTCTACTTCTGCTCCTTTTATGTCTTCCTGTGAAATGTCTTTGTGCTAGAAATGGACATGACATCGCACAGAGAAAACGTCTAGTAGTCGACACATTTCGCTAACCTCTGATGCGTGACCCCTGCACTACACGCAAACTGTCCTGGCCATAAAACTGAAATATAGAGTCACATAAAATAAATATATATAAATATATAAAATAAACAAACTGCCTCTTTAGGCAACTTTCAAAGATCTTGGGTGAGTCAATGAGGGTGTGATCAAGACAGGAAGGGAGGATGTACGGAAATTAGTGTGTATGGGTGCATCACACTCACATGCACATCCACATTCCTTCCTGTGTCTGTCAGGGTGCGCACAGTCATGTGCATGAATATGAATATGCATCTATGCAAATATATATTTCTGACTTTGTATAAAGGTGTGTGAGAGCACTCGTTCCACACTGAAGCAGGACAAGAGAAAAACCAAAAAGAACAAGGGAGGGAAGTGAGGTTCATTCAAGGCCGTGGCAGGCAGGGAGCAGAAATAATCTGACAGCTGTCCAAGATTTGTGAAGCACATAAACTCCTGTAGTAGTTTCCAGATTTCTGCTGTGTGTTACTATGACTCACAGACTCCAGCTCCTGCCCTTCTTTTCTCCTGTCTTATCTGGGGAAGAGGTGTGCAATTCAGATCCAGATGAGTTTTCATTCATAAAACAAAGTCTTTGTGTGCACACATAATGAAAGCAGGAATTAAAAAAAATTAAAAGGCAGGTATGTGTGTCATGAATTTGCATTATTGGTTAAGTAAAGTTCCTGTTTCTATGGCAGGCGAGGCAACATGTTGCCAACACACATTCAAACAAACAAGGCAATAGAGAAACAGTCATGAGATACGACTCAGGCTGATTTAATTCGCTGTTCCTCTTTATATCTGCCTGTCCTCGTCACAGGTCAGACCTATTGGTGTGTCCTGTGCTTTTTAATCTCTTTTTGCTGCCTTCTATATGCTGCTTTTCATTCTTATTGAGTATTACTAAAAGAGATCTGCAAAGAAAATGCACAGTGAGGGGCTGGTGTGAAGTGTGAGAAACAGTGAAACTTGATCAACCATGGCGGTGAGGTAAGCTCAGGAAAGAAAAGAACTAGATTGTATGCGAGCTCAGGAGGGTGTTGGAGACTTTGCCATTTTGCCCCGGGGGGTGGTTCATTTTGCGCTCAGCGTGAAAATCCTCTCTGACCACAACTTCAGCCTCAGTTAAAACTTTCCAGAGTCTTACCAGAACCAATCATACTGGTGCTGCTGCGGAAAATGATGCAGTTTTCTTTCTCACTTGTCCATCCTCAAAGTACAGTTGGTCACTTAACATACAGAAAACACGTTTTCAGGAGAAGTTCAAGTAATTAATCTTGATTGTGCTGTGGTGGTTCACAAAGGATCCATGAAAAAAAAAGAAAGCAAAACTTTTCATGGTGACATATTAAACGTAGTTCTCATGATTGGTATCACAGTTAAGGCTTCAAAGACAATTGTTCGAAATCCTCAATAGAATAGTTGTGTTCAGATATGACTGGGGGTGAATGAGGGCAGCTTGTCTTTCCTTTTGATTGTATTCTGGGTTGGTATCAACTAACAAGCTAACCCTTTGGGTATATTTGAAGCTTGGTTTCCTTTTAAACCTGGCAGGTTTCATTGTTTGTATTGTCCACCCTGCTGACTGTGCTGAAATTTGATTACATGTCCTTTGATAAACAACTCAATGTTTATGATGAAGATATTATTATTGCTAGATAATTCCGCACTTTAAGAGTATAAATCAGTGAAAAGTGGCTCCCCTCCCCCTCTGTTTTAGCTACAACTACAACCATCTGTACTGTAGCTGCTGTATCAGTTTAGTCCAGATAGGAAGGTAGGAAAAATCTGCTTGTTTTGGAGCCTGTCTGACCACAAACTTAGAAGCTATGCAGCAAATGGTAGACATTACGCCTTTTATGGGCAAACCAAAAGAATTCGGTTGCATGCTTACAAAGTAAACCTCATTTTGCAAAGAATATTCTACCCCTTTAACTTTTTGATTTAATCCTTTTCCAGCGTTCCTCTTTGTTGAAGCGTGTACTTAATGTTGGACAACATGTCTGCAACTGCTTTCTTTCATTTGTTGTGAACTGTGGTTTATGTGATCTCTATAGTTCACTAAATTAAACTGATCAGCTCTGGTTGCTCAAATGTGAATGTTTTAAGTGTTTTCACGACAGAAAAACAACACATACATTTCCATGGAGACAGAAAATACACTGTACGTTAGAAAAGGGGAAGATGTGGGAGCACATTAGAGCATGAGAGAGCAGGGAGGGGGAGCAGGAAAGAAAGACTGGGGCGATGTTGAAGTGGGCAGGGTCTGAGAGACCAGCTGTGATTGAGAGAGAAGCAGGAGTATAAAGTTCCCCACTTCCCGCTGCCAGCGTTACTTTCTAAGCCGGCCAGCAGTGAGCTTCCACATCCCATTTTTCACTTCATTCTCTGTTGAGTCTAAACTATCTCCAAAATGAGCTACAGAAGATCCATGCAGCAGATGCCTTCTACCCACATCTCCATGACCCGCTCTACACCCCAGTTTGGTGCTGCCAGCATTTATGCTGGTGCTGGTGGACATGGTGCTCGCATCTCCTCTGTCTCCTCATCTTCCCTGCGCTCTGGTGCCCCAATGGCCTCTTCTTCATCTTCCTTCAAGGTGAGCAGTGGAATGGGTGGAGGTATGGGAGCAGGTTTTGGTGGTGGTGGTGCATCCATGGCAGCTGGTGCCGGTGCTGGGATCCTGGGCAATGAGAAGGGCGCCATGCAGAACCTCAACGATCGCCTTGCCAACTACCTGGATACAGTGAGGAACCTGGAAAAGGCCAACAGTGAGCTGGAGATGAAGATCAGGGATGCGCTGGAGAAGGGTGGGCCCGAACTGAGAGACTACAGCAAGTATGAACCCATCATTGACGACCTACGCAGAAAGGTGAGCATGAAAATACATAATGACCATTAAAATGAACAAGTGGAAGTTAAGTATGAAGCATAAGTATATAAATGTTATCTAAAAGTAGGAAGTTGTAGGTGTTGGTTGAAGTCTTTGATACAGCTTGGTGAGGCACAGTTAGAAAAGTGAGAGTTTAAATGCTTTAAAAAGCCTTGATGGAGACCAATACGAAAGTCAATGAGAGCATGTAATAGCACTCATCATCACAGACAATGTTTTAAATGTACACCTACTTGTGGCAATAAATTGTATCAGTGTTGAAAATTAATTGTGAGAAAGTTCTCACTGAGACCAGCAGTATTTCTTTTGTAAGTTATCAAATTTCTTGCAAGAGAATGAAGGGTGTGGTCGCTACGCTCTAACCCCCCCCCCCCCCCCGACACNAAGTATGAAGCATAAGTATATAAATGTTATCTAAAAGTAGGAAGTTGTAGGTGTTGGTTGAAGTCTTTGATACAGCTTGGTGAGGCACAGTTAGAAAAGTGAGAGTTTAAATGCTTTAAAAAGCCTTGATGGAGACCAATACGAAAGTCAATGAGAGCATGTAATAGCACTCATCATCACAGACAATGTTTTAAATGTACACCTCACCACCACGAGGGTATCATCAAGCTCTCAAACAGCCTCCACCAGACAAAAGCATTTTTCCAAATGCTCCTACTTGTAAATGGAGATTCTATAAGTCTGCTCTGGTGTAGGAGGGCCTCAATGTGAAACAGATGTGTGGTAATGACACACACACAAATAATCTCGGACTGCCAGCTGGAAGTGTGTGTGTGTGTGTGTGTGTGTGTGTGTGTGTGTGTGTGTGTGTGTGTGTGTGTGTGTGTGCGCGTGTGTGTGTGTGAGTGCACTGGTTGTATAACAATCAGCTCCAGTCAAGCGGAGTCAAATGTCACATTCTTCTCCAGACTCCCCTTCTTCAGAGCCACATAATAACGAGCTGATGGTGGCCCTTTGTTTTATTCAACACATAAAGGGACGTGTATTTCCCCTTTCCTTTGAGACAGGACACCATGGGCACATAAAAAACTATAAACTGGCAAACACACTCATGCACAAAGAATTTTGCTATCGCTGCACACATGAACACATACAGTTACATACACAAAGAGAATGACAGACAGACGGAGACAGTGCAGCTGCGTGAAAACTGGAGAGAAGAAAAACTCTCTGTATAACTTATTCAAACAGGAAACCCATTTTTCCAACAATGCTAAAACAAACCAGATTCTGTGTTGGCACTGGAACATCGTCCCTTCCTGTTCTTCAGTTTGTGGTTCCTCTTTTCTTCACTGACTGTTACTGTGGATTCAACCTTGTTGTGGCCCTCGTGTGCAATTTGGATCTGGAGTTGATATTGTTACATAACGGAAATAGTGATTCAAATCATATGTTTAAATCTGTAGTTGTGTGAAACACTGCTATCTCATAACACATAATGACTTGAGCAGAAAACAAAGTTATGCACTGAATGAAGAGGCTTCTGGTTTACCAGTGATGCTCTTTCTAACAACTTAATTTAGGCCAGAACAGAACAAAGAACTCTTTTTTTTCTTGACACACACTGATCACAAATTCTTTTTTTCTGCCCAGATCTTTGATAAGATTGCAGAGAATGCTCGTTTTGTGCTCCAGATCGACAATGCCCGTCTTGCTGCTGACGACTTCAAAGTGAAGTAGGTTGCTTTATTTTTAATTTCAGTGTAAATTATGTTGCATTATGAATGAGAAACATCTCAGCTCTGCTCTGGTGTCAGAGGGTCTAAACTTTGTAAGCAGAAGTCCATACAGAGATTGTACAGTTGATGTGGTCTAATATCTATATTATCTGATACAGTATGATTTCTGCAGTAGTGGGGTTGTTTCTGCAGGATTTCCTTGGGACCTCAGCGGTGCCATTTTGTAACTCTATACTACGCAGCGGCGTGTGCACATGAGCTGGTTACGTCTCTAATAGAGTTTGTATCTGCGCACAGGTTCGACAATGAGATCGCAATCCGCCAGTCTGTGGAGGCTGACATTGCTGGCCTGAAGAAAGTCATCGATGACACCAACATGAGCAGGATGAACATCGAGAGTGAGATCGAAGCTGTGAAGGAGGAGCTTGTCTTCCTGAAGAAGAACCATGAGAATGTGAGTTGACACTACACCTGCATACTATTACATTGTATCGTGGAGCTGCAGTGTGTAGAGTCTGACGTCTTTGAACATTTTTGTTCATTTCTCTCTGTCTGTCCTGTAGGAGGTGATGGAGCTGAGGAATCAGATCTCCCAGTCAGGCGTGCAAGTGGACGTGGACGCTCCCAAAGGTCAGGACCTGGCCCAGATCATGGAGGACGTGAGGTCTAACTATGAGAAGATGGCGGTGAAGAATGCAGAGGACCTCAAACGATGGCACGAAAATCAGGTAACGCAGCGCTAAAGGGGCAATCATGAAGAAATACGCTTGTGGATTATCTTGGTTTTTGATGAACTTCTTTTTTTCCCCCCATCTCTTCCTCAGATTTCAGATGTACAGGTGCAGGTATCCCAGAACACAGAAGCTCTCCAGGGGGCCCACATGGAGAAGAGTGACCTATCCAGACAGATCCAGACCCTGGAAATTGAACTTGCTTCACAACAGAGCTTAGTAAGCAGAATTTTACGAATGTGTTTTATATTCTATCTTTTCATTTGCATTTTATTCACAGAACACCCACTCAGACATCTTTTATCACTTCTTTTTGTAAAGCTGCAAATATTTTCCAAGTAAAGGTCGCAACGTTCCCATGTTCTCCCAAATTAGACTTGATTGCCCTAAAAAAAAAAAAAAACAAACTTCTCATTCCTTCTTGCCAATCCTTTATCAGAAAGCCTCCTTAGAGGACACACTACGCAACACAGAGCTACGAAACAACATGGAAACGGAGAAGTACAATGGCCTTATTATTCGACTTGAGGAGGAGCTGTCCAACTTGCGTGCAAACATCCAGCAACAGACCCAAGACTACGAGGCACTGCTCAACATGAAGATGAAACTGGAGGCAGAGATTGGCACTTACAAGACTCTGCTGGATGGTGGAGACTTCAAGTAAGAGTTATAAAGAGGTGGAGGAGAAAAAACAGGTCGGGGCAAAGTGATGATGGTGGTGGAGGTGAATACTTAAGTCACTTGTTTTCAGAGTTTGCATGGTCAAGTATGACTATAGTGAGGCAGTACTGCCAGTTGTTTCAGTGGTGACATGACTATTTCAACATGAATATTCTGAGAGTCAAAATGTTTCATTTGTGTTTTGTACAGGCTCCAGGACGCACTAGATGAGCTGGCCGCCACAAGCTAATTTGGAACAAAGGATCTGGGACCATACCAACAATGGAAGCAAAGTAACCCGCAACTATCAATTTTGGGGGGGAAAAAAATGTCCTGCTGGTCCAATCAACTGAAGCCATTTTTGAACCAAGACCACATACTGTGTAAACCATAAATGATTGAAGCACTTCTGAATAAAGGCATTCTTCCACACCACAGTGAAACTGGCAGGGCTTTTTCACAAGCAACCACTGCCTCACCTGCCAGAAAAATAAAAACGAATAAAAACCGCATGTTGACCCAAAGTCATGAGTCTTGTGCATTGTTGCATAATGTAAGAATGTGCTTCTTTTGTCTTGTGATAAGTTGTTGTCACCATTATTGCACTGCATGGCCCTCTCTGATTGAAAAGCAACGTTTAAAGGAGGCACATGATTCAGATGATGAGACAGATGATTTATTCATTTCTGTTGGCAGAGGAACCACATCTTTAAAAAAAGGAAAAAAAGAAACAACTGACAAATTACAAGTTCTTAATTTTGAAAAATAATTTAGTATTGTTGTTTGTTGTGTCCTCCAAGCATGTCATGGTATAGTATAGTCACATGTGAATCACTGACCCATCATGTGAGTCCTTGGGGCAACTGATGAGGAAAACATGTTTATGTTATGTAAGGCATACCAAATGACAAGTCTGATAAATGTTTTGGGGTTTAGATTCCTTTCTTCTCACTAAAAGACCGAAACCAATCTAATTATACAGATAATATATTGTATGAGTTATTAAGAGTGGCCCGTTAAATACATTCAGCTTTGAAAGTCTTACCGTTTTCTCTTAGGTAACTCCCTCAGTTTTCCTACTGTCCCACAGCATATGCCTGTTCAGAGCCTCTTTACTGTAGAGTGGTGAAATGGACACAGGGGGGCGCTAAAGTCGTTCCACAGCATCCACACTGAAGAGGCTGCCTGCAGATGTTTTTGATAATAGGCCCAGTGGGCGCAGCTATAATCTCAAAATGCTATCTGAGTATTTCCCTGTTATGTTATTTCATATTTAAATTTCAAAGGAAAAATTTATCTTTTTATTCCACTGCGTTAATTTGTCAGATGTAGATGCAGTTTGCAGATAAAGATTTTACATAAAAACATAAAATTGACCTAATAAAATATGACGCATTCTTATAGATTAACTGTGCAACACTAATATTAGGTTGTTTAGCATCACCGTCAGCAGCTACATTAAAATTCTGCTTACAAGATAATGTATCAGTCCAATGATAGCCTGTAATATAGGTTAGATGTCAAGGATTTTAACACTAATTATTTCGCATTGATAGCTCTCAATTGCTCAAGCAGTATCCATAAGTTATGGCTTGATATAGGTTACTTTTGAAAATAATAATAATTACATTTGTTAGTTTTGAACTATTAAGGATGCTGTTATGTAATCTATAAAGGTCTAAAAGAATATTAAGCAAATAGAAGAGCACAGGGGTTTTAAATCCAAGGATTTGGTGACAGCCTAAATAAATGAACAACGGTGAGAGTTACAGCTAGTTTAGTGACAGACACGACACAAACTCAGGAAACATCAGAACTGTAGCCGCGCAGATGTGGGTCAGTAAGCAAACAAGGGAGGAGACCATAGGAGGAGACAGACAGGCCCGTGTACGGCGATGCGCGCCCCCGATAATAAACCTCTGACGCCTTCATCCGGGAACTACTACGAACTCGCTCTCCAACATGGCGGCGTCAGGTGAGGTTTATGTGGGTGAACGATCTGGGACGGTTTGGGGGAATTTTAGAGGTTTACACGTCGATACAATCAAACACATTAAGTTTAGGGATTGTTAATGTCTTGTCTTATTGATCCGCGTCGTTGTCCCGCGTGTATGAATAGGTTTGTCGGTTGTTTTGGCCCCGTGAAAACGTAACTGCCGGAGGAAGGCGAATGAACGAAGCGACTAGCACAATCTGAACATTTTAACCTACAGATTACATGCGGTCTCCTCCTGTGAAAAATGTTACTGCAGTGTTTACGGTGTCCGCTTTTGAGTTCGTGCAGTATTACGCGGATTGGACGGTGAGTGACGTGTTATGAAATGTTTCTAACTGCGTGCAGAGCTGGCACATTGTATGTCCGTAGCGGAGCTCGCCGTGGCGCTCAGAGTCGATAAGCACCGGGCGCAAGCGCGTTTCGTGGAGGAGGGGTTGGGCCGAGGAGTCCGGGCTGCCCGGGGAGTCTCCCCACGTGTGCAGCCTGGCTCCCTGGTGTCGGTGTTTGATGAAATTGGGCAGCTGGGCCTGTTGGGTTGTATCATAAACACTTCCTTGGCAGCTTCATAACTTTGAGCCGTCCCGTCCGGTCGGCCAAGTCTTGCTCCGACGATGGCGCACTTGGATCCTGGCGCTGCGACGTGTACTAGGCCCTAAAACCTAGCCAGCTAAGCAGGGATACTTCCCCCGTCAGCAGTCCTTTGCTGACTAAGCCCGCATAAAGACAAAAGCGACCTACGTAGATAGCAAGCAAACAACCTGTATGGTTAGGGTAACTGTTAACTGTTGGCCTAGCAGCCGTTATGTTAACGTTACGCAGCTCCCGGCGTGCTAATGTTACATTAGTGCGGAGCGCTAAGAAAGCTAAAACAGTATGTTATTCGTTTGTTTTAAAGAGCACACGCAGTCAAGGCCAGCTAGTTAGGCCTGTTAATTGTAAACAATGACTTAGCATTGCGTATTTGGAGAGGGTTGGAAACCGTCTGTGTTGCTTTCTGTTTGTGTGTTGAGTTTGTAACGATGTGTGTAAAGAATGTCCTGACAGCTGGGATTTTCACAATAAAGCTCACAGCCAGCTTTGTCGCTCCCCTTATTCTGCCTCAGACCAAAACAAACCAGGCCTGCTCTATGAGCTGCGAGTGAAGCCCCCCATAGGCAACTGACAACTGTTAGCCATTCAAAAAGACACTATGAGGAATGTTCTGCAGTGGATACAGGATTGATTGATTTAAACTCCAAGGTACATTCCTTGAAACATGCAGCCTGATGGTTTGGACGTATCACAACTGACCCTTGGAGCTGGACGGATAAAGACAACCCTCTTCTGACCTCTGACAGTGACAGTTGGACAGGGAGACCACTCCCTGTGTGTTTACTTTCCAATATAAAATAAGTCTGTGTTTTTGTTATCACTCACACATTGCAGTCTCCTTATCTGGTTTGGCTGGATAACACTTCACCCCTAAACCTTACAAATAGTGTTTGTCTATGCAGAGACGCAGCTGTCCACATGAGTGAAGACACGCACATACAAGTCTTTTGAAAAGCCAGACTGTTGTTATGTTGGTGTCTTAAATAATGAGTCTTTCAGTGGTGCAACATTTCACTGCTTTAATATTTTGTAATATTTTCACTTTGAATTGTTCCATGTGGACAATTAACCCACAAACTAGCATGTTTCTTCCAAGGCTGACTGTGTACTTTGTGTTCTTTTTCTCTAGGTAAGAAGAAGAATAAGAAGGGGAAGACCCTCACTCTGACTGACTTCTTGGCAGAGGACAGTGGAGGAAGCGGCGTGGCCCCCAGCTACCCGACCAAGTCCACTAGCTGGGCCGATGAGACTGACGACCTGGACGGAGATGGTGAGCATGCACTGAAATGCACATAAAGACTTTATCTTCTATGCCTGCCACCTGTCTTGCAATTTTTCCATATAACTATTAAAATCAGTATCATCTCACAGTTGCTTGGGCAGTCTCTAACTGGATTGGAGAGAAAGGAAAATGCCTTTAAGAATGCAGTCAAACTGGTAGTGCCATCAACATACGGTGGGGGTGAAAATTACACTTTCCCATTCAAGTGAAATCAAGTAGTCTGACACTTGACTGAATTTAAAACAAGTTTTTGTTTAGTCTGGTCTTTTTAAGTCATAGAGCATTAAGAAAGTTTCAGGTAGATCTGTGAACCATTTAGTATAGATGGCTGAACACACTATTACTACTATAAATACATAAATGATCATGCTGTTGGTGCTTTCCAGTTAACTGTTGAGCCTGCCGCACTGCCTTTTGAAATGTGAAACATGAAACCATCAAGTTAATTGTCAGATTTCGTAATGACGTTGGACCCAAGTCTGAGCTTCATATGTTAACTGAAAACTCATCACTGCACCGTTTTGACATGAATTTGCTAACGTGTTTGTACAGAATTGGGATGGCTGTTTTGAATATTAGATGGTGGTTGGATATCATGGGTGGAGGCCTTACATGTTAAATTAATCATCAAAACTCCATATTTTCAACCACGGAATAGGGTCAGATAGTCAGATATATTTACTATTTATATATATATATATATATTTTTTTTTTTTTTTCTTTTTTCTTCCTGTTATTAGCTATGCACACTTGCTATCTGGAGTTTCTCATATGCATTCTTGCATCTGACAATGTGTATTTTTTCCTCCTGCTCATTTCCTTTTTATAGCTAATACAACTTTGTCATATTAATGTGCATGATACATTCAAATGTAGGCTTCTTAAGGTCAGAATTCAGATTTCTTTTTTCTTTTTTTTTTTTTCTTTTTTTTGAGACAAAAAGGTGCCATAGAAGTACATTTCAGGACAGTTTCACTTCAGATACTTAATATCATATTATGACTTTTATATCATTCCAGTATTGGACCAAAGGTTTTTGACTATCAGACCAATATCTACCTCATAGAACAATAACACAATACGCATCAAAATAAATTCGCTTTTCTCAGAACACATCTGCTGAGCTATAACAGCATGTATAGTAAAAAAGTTTGACATGGTTGTTATAGTTTCTCTCTTGTATGTATTTGGATGTTGATATAAGTCCTGATGCTTAGATTTTCCCATTTATTGTAATAAAGTCTTTGTTACCATTTTATTTTATGTAAGTCTCAGAATGCAAGAACTCTATGAACTGAAGAACCCAAGTATTAGAGAGAAAATAATCATTTGAAAGCAAGTTTAATGTTAGAGTTGCAACAATTAATCAATTAATCGATTAGTACATCAACAAAAAAATTACTCTGCAGCTATCCAGACAATCAAATATTCATTTTAGTCACACAAATAAAAACAGTAAGATTTTTTTTTGTCACACATGATGGTAAACTCAAGTGTTGAACTGTTGGCTGGAAAAAACAAGACGACGACGCCACCTGGGCTGTTGGAAATTATTTTGAACAATTTTCTGACCTTTATATAGATAAAATGAATTAGAAAACAATTGTAGGATTAATCAATAATGAAAATAATTGTTAGTTGTGCACTGTTTGATGTAACTCTGCCCATCTTTCCAGTCTCGACTTCGTGGCACACGGAGGAGGATACGTACCGGGCACCGCCCATTGACCGCTCCATCCTGCCCACAGCACCTCGCTCAGCCCGTGAACCCAATATCGACCGTTCCCGACTGCCCCGCAGCCCGCCGTACACGGCCTTCCTGGGCAACCTGCCCTATGAAGTCACTGAAGAATCAATCAAAGATTTCTTCCGCGGCTTGGCAGTAGGTGTAACAAGCACATGCAGTCTGGGACATATGACACATAGCACTACAGTTACTGCACCTCTTTGTTTTGCAAAGCAGCAGAGCCAGTGAAACTCAAGTGACAGTTTCAGTTGCAGTCTTATTTGCTCTTTACAGGACCTGGTCTACACAACACAGGTCAAACTTTTTTTCCTTGTGTCCATGGACAGATCTTAAAGTAATGCCCTAATGTTCCTCAACTTTTTTTTTTTTTTCACAGATAACAGAGCTGGCAAAAGCCCGAATGGCCACAGAATGGCCATAAAATAGCCAGTTTTTGGTTAAAAATATCACTTAATTACTTCCATGTAGTCTGCTAATGCCTGTCTCTGGCTCACCAGGCATAGCTAAGTAGGACCCATTGCTTGAAATGGTTACAACCATGCAAGCAACCAAAACTTAGTGAGATTATTCAGCCAACTTGTGTTACTAAAGCTACCTGCAACAGTGTCTGTCACAATCCTGAACTGGACATTTCTTATTTAGGGCTAGGGCAGGAATTAATCTCATCTGCAATGTAATCAATCAACTAATTTCTTCCATATTTTTCATTTGCAGACTGCTCTTTGTATTTCCTGATCTTATTTTGGTCAGCTGCAGAGTGCTGGGCCCAAATCAGTGTGTTCTCTGTTTCTTATGTTATTCTGTCAATATCTTCCTCTCCAGATCAGTGCAGTGCGCCTGCCTCGAGAGCCCAGTAACCCAGAGAGGCTGAAGGGCTTTGGCTATGCTGAATTTGACGATGTGGACTCCCTCTTGAGGGCCCTCAGTCTCAATGAGGAGGTGAGATGATGAAGCAACTAATGAATGTCATTTTAAAACATTTTTGGGGATTTTTATTTTTTAACCTAACTAAAATGAAAGTATGACTGTACAAGTTCTTTGTCACTGTATCGCACAATAAAATATTTTTTATTGGCTGCATTGCATAAGAGAAGCAAGATGTATAGTTCTACCAGAGATTACATAGTCAGAATGTATAAAAATGTAGTAGAATCACTAACTATTTGTCCCTTCTGTCTGTTCATGCCAACAGAACTTGGGGAACCGAAGGATCCGTGTGGATATTGCAGACCAGTCTAATGATAAAGGTACACTGCTAACTTTTATTTCTGCAATTTTTTCTGGCCTTAGTGACCATTTAGAATAATTAAGGCAAAGGAGGTACACCCCCCAGCCTTCATATTCCACAATTAAACTCAACATCATCTTGTCTTCTTTACACCCCAGAGAGAGACAGTGGGCTTATGGGAGGACGAGACAGGGGTGGACGGATGGCGGACATGGGCCCTGACAAGACAGACAGTGACTGGAGAGCTCGGCCAAGTGCAGACAACGATGATGGACCTCCCAGGAGAGATGATGCCTTTGGAGAGAGTGAGTCAGAAATGGTTTTGTTTGTGCTTCAACATCCAAACTTATTTCACAACTTATCCCAGGGTTATTCTGTTAGTAGTTTTGGATACAAGGGACTTTTTCTTTTTTATCACTGTTTGATGTTAGATCAACAGTCCATTACCAGAGGAATTCCATGTGTGAAACACAGTTGTCTCATTTTTCTCTTAAGGAATGTTCCTAATGACTACTTTCTGTTGATTCATTGGTAATATAAATTTAGTATAGTCAACTAGTTTAAAAGTAAGTAAGTTAAAAAATAAATAAATAATTGAAAACAGCATGTTTGAGTAAACAATGTCGTACTGGTTTGTCTAGTGTGGCTAAAGTTAACGGTGCTACCACCAGCAACCATATTTCCTTGCAGGTTATGAATGCAGTTTCACATTGCTGTGGTTCACTGGTTGTATGCCAATTTATTTTGACAAAGCCTACATACAACCTTATTTTCATTTTCCAGATCAAAATATTGCCAAATTTCAAATCAATATCACGATTATTTCAAACTTGATTTAATTAATTAATTAACCATTACTTTAGCGCTAATAGATTTTTCTCTTTTTTTGAGGCACACACTCTTAGCATTCAATGTAGTTGTATTCCAAGTGAATAAACAAATTGGCAGTGTTATCTTTGATCACTATCCATGTTGCATTCAACACTGTCTAGTAGCCGTTACTGATAAGACCCAATCGGAAGGCGAGGCAGTTGTCGGACTAATGTTAGTTGGACGGGTCAGAGGCATGTGACTGAACACGAGGTATAATTTTTGTGGACATTTCATGAACTCATGCATTGGGGAAAATATTAACTGAATTAACTGACCTGAGCAAGATTAAATCGGCGAGAGGTTGTAAATGTTGGTTTTAATACTTTTTCAGTTAATGGTCCAGCCCCAATGTCATCTGTACCACTTTCCATCTTGCATGTTTGCAACGTTCGGGCATTAGCATGGGGAGAGTGGAGCTGCCGTCTGCTGAGGCTGCAGCCGACTAGTGGTGGGCTGCTGCGTAACATCTTAGATGCAGCAGTTAAGCAGTGTTGTAAATCAATAAAATATTAATAATTTCTTTAACTGGATACTATATCTAGTGCTGATTAGAGAGTGAAACAACATTTAATTATTTATTCAACAATTTTAGTACATGTCTAATTCTCTTATGATTCTTGCAGGATCACGGGACCGCTACGAGTCAGATCGTTACAGAGATGGGCCACGGCGCGACAGTGATCGTTATGATAGTGGAAGAGACCGCTACCGGGATCGCTATGATGACAGGGACCGCAGAGACTACGACAGAGGAGGTGAGTAGTTGTACTTGTTAAGGCCCTGTATTCTCCGTCACTTGTTTTTTTTTTGGCTGATCCTTGATTTTAAAATCTAAAATATATATGTATATATATATATATTTTATTTTTATTTTTTTTGTTTGATTTAACATTCCCTTCCTGATTGAATCAGTCTTTAATTAGGCTTGTGGCTGTATTTCCTGTTCATATCATCTCTCCAGGTTTCTATTTTTATCTCTTAACCGTTTTCTCTCCTGTGCCCCTGACATTCTAGGTTTTGACTCTCGTGGTGGTGGAGGAGGTCGTCGTGCCTTTGGCAGTGGCTTCCGCCGTGATTATGATGACAGTCGGGGTAGCAGTGATCGTTATGGGGACAGGGATCGTTATGGCGACCGTGAAGACCGGTATGAGAGACGGGATGATAGGCGTGAGGAGAGAGGTGAGAATTCAGTATATTAATGCTCTGCATTATTTCTAAACAGATCTCAAATAAAATCATTTGAGTGTTGGTGTTTGTCAGTAATTTGGGTGTTCCATATTTACCACAAATCCAATCTATGTAAATGAAAACAAAATTCATCCTCTGATAATCACTGCCACCCCACCCTATATTAATATCCTCTCCTCTGCTCGCTCCAGCTCCTCAGCAGAGACCCAAGCTGAACCTAAAACCCCGTAGTGTGCCCAAGGAGGAGGAAGGTAGTGGCGGTGGCGGAGGTGGCGGCGGCGGAGGCGGCGGCAGTGGGGGCGGCGGCAGCGGCAGCAGTGGTGGTGGTACTTCCCCCGCTGCAGCTCCAAGTTCCAGCAGCAGGGCCTCATCCATCTTTGGTGGGGCCAAGCCTGTTGACACAGCAGCCAAGGAGAGGGAGGTAGAGGAGAGGCTGAAGAAGGAGGAAGAGAGACTGCAGAGGCAGCTGGAGGAAGACAAAGGCCGGGGACCCGACAGAAAGATGCGAGACAGGTCAGGGGTAGACATGATTGTCAGTAAACAATGTTGATGAAGTGATGGCTGCCATTATTTTTGTGAGAGTTTTTAAATATTCCATATTTCATGTTCATGTTGTTGCTTAAGATTTTTTATTTCTTCCTTTTCAGGGACCCAAGCTGGCGCAATGAGGAATCTCATACTGAGCGATCTCGCACAGGAAGTGAGTCCTCACAGCAAGGAAGCACTTCTGGAAGGGGTGAGAAAACTCTGCACTGTATTTTTACATAGCTTGTATTCAGGAATCTGATTTCTCCTCATAAACCCGAAAGCGACTGTGTCCTATTTTCTATTTACTTGACTCACTTTAACATTGTGCTCCTCTTGTCTTCTTCTTCCAGGGTCCCGGTGTCGAGATAACGAGCGCTCCGGGGAGAATGAGGTTTTCAGTGGGAGAGAAGGTGACCCTTCCTCCCCTGGGCCATCCTCACGCCCACCCTCTACCAGCTCCTCCAAGGAGCCACTTAAGGTGATGCCTGCCCCTCCTCCCAAGGAGAACGCCTGGGCCAAGAGAAGTGCAGTCAGTACAGGCTCTAGTGAGGGTGATGGACGAGCTCCAGTCTCTCCTGTCTCCCCAAGTGGTTCAGCTCCTCCCAAGTTCAGGTGAGAATACACTAGGACAGATGTTAAAAAGCCTTTCAGTGATGTGCTGTTCAGACACTTAAAAAAAAAAAAAAAGCACTTCAAGCACAAATGATTGAGCAAACCAATCTTTTCACACACGGAATTAGCCATAACAGGCCTGTAGCAAAGTTGAATTTGTGAGTGCTTTGTGTACCTCTCTCTGACTGTTCTTACTTTCTCTTTAGCTCCTCAAGCTCTGCAGATGAAAGAGGATCTGGAAAGGGTAAGGCCTTCTGATGAGTGCTAGGCACAATTGGGGATTTTACCCTAACCAAACCCCACTGTAGACTACGAATAAAATTGAACAACCAAGAAATGGTGTGACTTGCACGCACACAACTATAAAAGGACTCAACACAAACAAAGGAAACTGAAGAAGGAAGACGCTTATGTAAACAAAAACACTTGCATACATCTACAAAAATATGTGATAATGGAGACTTTGGATTCGAACAAGACTCAAGTCGTCAGCCACATTAGCCACCCTGTGATACTGTAAAGGTCAACACACAACTTTGCTGTTCTTAGATCCTTACCACTAGTTAAGCAATAATGCAAAGTTTGGCACCAGTGGAAAGGCCATGTTATGTTTATCACAACGGTTTATTCTATGTACGGTGGCCATTTTAGGACATTTCACACTCTTCCATTCAGGCTTGACTTTACATCGTCAGACTAGGCTCAGCCCTGATCAGCCCTGGCTGTTCTTTGGCTCATCTGTACTTTGAGCTAAAAGCTAATGTGAGCATGTCAGCATGCATGTCCACAGCTATTGGATGTTTTCATGCTACCACTGTGTAGTATGGTCACATTGTAATGTGAGCATATTAAACATCAGCATAAATCTCAAATTAAAGCTGATGAGAATTCAGTTGTTAGTTATAGAAGTATCCTGTCATGAACTGAAGTGTTGGATGAGTGGAAATTTTGAAAAAGTGAAAAGGTCATTGGGATTCATCTCCTGGGATCCACAAACTGTATTTCACGGCAGCCCATCCAGTAGTTTTAACTCTGAATCAAAGTGTTTTGACTTACGGACCAACTGGCACTGCTATTTCTAGAGCTTCAATGCTAGCCTGTCTAAAAAGTTCTCTATTCAACCTTTGTAGATTGTATCTGAAAGTGTATTTTTTTTAAACATCTGACTGCCCATATAAAATTGCATTTGGGACTGTTGTCCACAATCTACGCAGTGTCCTCGTTTCTTTTTCTTGATGATTGTGGACTTGCTTCACAGCTTCAATTAAGTGTGGCTATACCTGCTTGAATTTGCTTTCTAAGGACATTTGCACATTGTTTTGCAAATTTCTTTTTATGATCATTCATCATAAAACGTTGATATGAAGGTGGTTTCAAACTCTTGTGTGGTCCAGAAAAGGCAACAGGAATCTGGTGGTTTTCAGTTCATTCAGTGAAGCCCATAAAAGCTGTAGGACTATTTAACGGCCTCATTGCTTATTATACACTTATTACAGAAATTATTTCGGAGAATTCCAGTGTTTCCTCTTCGAGAGGAAACTCTTCCACGTGATGATGTGTAAGAGCAGCTGTTATTCTTACCTTTCAAACTGTTTGGTAACTATCATAATAAACATATCTGGCAAAAAGAACACGTCTGACAAGAGCAGGTTTTGGGCTCATCTTCCTGTTAAGTATTCATCACAAGGGGAGCACAAAAAAATGTCTCACATTAGTCTTGTTGGTGTACAGATAATCAAAGTGATGTACAGTGAGGTCCATAAGTCTGAGACCACTTCCTCATTCACTTGAATATCCATTATCTGCATTGCTGTGTCAGAACTGGCCTTACTTTTCTGATTGCTTTGGATGAACCTTTGATGTAACTTGCAGGCCAGCATTACATTTAAAAGAAGTGGGTTCCATTGTACAGGCTCAGCTTGCATTCAAGCAGTTGTGCACCTCTCATTTGGCCCTACATCAGTGACTAACACCGTTTGAATCCAACCCAGTGGCTTTTGATGCTGCAGTGTGTTGTGAGTGTAGTCTACTGTACGAAGTCCATCAACCTCCCTTCACTCAACTGTCTGGCTTCTCCTTTAAGATGAGAACAAGGCTGACGGTGTGCGTCGGGACCGGGGTCCCCCACGGGCACGAGGGGGGCCTGCAGGGCCTGGAGCAGGGCGGGGCCGAGGAGAGGGGCCCAACAGAGACCGAAGAAAGGAGGCAGACAGGTCAGCCACCCAAAGCTAGCAACTCCAAAGTACTTCATAAGACAGGGAGGAGGACTGGGCATCTGTAAAGAGTGGCCTATGCTCAGTTATATAACTGGTGATGCATGAATTGTTCCTGGTGTCGTGGACACAAGGGCACCGGGATTCCTGGTGTTTACATTTAATGCTTTCCCTTTTTCACCAAATAGTTACAGTCCCCAGTAGCGCAGGGAACCTAAACAGTACAACATAAATTAGAATTAAAATTTGGGACAATTCAGATGTTTTTTGGGTTTTTTTTTTTCCCTGAAAATGAGTCCTGATCATGGTTTGAACTGGGTGCCAAGTAGATGTTAATTTTCAGAAGATGAAAATGAACATAATTTGTGCTCCTTTAGTTTGTCTTTTTTTATGTGTGGTTTTTAGGGATTCACAGCAAGGGATGACTTTCCAGTGCTTAGCCCATCCAATAAATCTTAACCTCAGTATTCATTGTGATTGTAGAAAGGATAACAGAAGAGACCGAGACTCCAGACCACCTCCAGAGCCAAAGAAATACGAAGAATCCCCAACCCCCGTAAGTCTTTAACTGGGTGACATCAAACTCTGACTAAACCTTTTTCCCCAGTTAAGGGTTTCGCTTTACATTATAGTTTTTAAGATCATCTTTTTTTTGCAGTGGATAAACAGGCCGTCATCTGCCATAAAATCATTGTCCCTAATGTTGTTTCATGCTCCTTGAAAAACTCCTCTATATATATTTGTTTAGTATCCAGAGTTTCCTGTACTGATCCAGGTTCTGTGGTGTTTTGTCTTTTCCAGAAGTTCAGCTCAGCCAGTAAGTACGCCGCTTTGCTAATGGACGGAGACCAAGGAGACGACGCTGAGGACGTCGAATAGAGAGAGAAAATAACGATACAAGGCCAGGAAACGCAAGAAGAGGAGAAAACGATGAATGCAGAAAAAAAAAATAATCTCACATAGTCTATGAAAAATCTTCTCACATGGAAGAGGCTCCTGGGAGGACATCACTCCCTCCCTCCTTTCCTCCTATAAACCTGTCCTTTACTTTCAAAACCTCCCACCCACCTATCCTCCCTGCCTCCCACCAACCCCCTCCCTCCCTTCCCCGGACCCTCCCCGCCCCACCTTCAGGACTTTTCAGGTTCTAAAGAATAGTCACATACTGGACTTGTTTTAAATGGGAAAAAAGGAGTAGCTGACACATGGAAAATGATGGATAACATTGAATTAATTGTAATAAATAAATGGAAAAAGTGGGGAAAAAATGAATTTGTATATTTGTGGATCACAGACGGGGTAAGGTTGGAGCTTATAACAGACTAAGACTCACTAAGTGGAACCTTTTTTATTTTTAAGTTTTATCAGTTTTTGACATTGACTTGCATAATCCCTAGATTTCACTTGCATAATCCCTAGATTAAACTATTCATCATAAAGCCTTTTTATTAATTACTAAATAATTAGTTATAAAAAAAAAAATCAATCTCTTGGCAAATTTATTCATGAAAATTACTCAAGAAAATCATGTCTTCCAGTACTAACAATCATGAACGTTGAGATTTGGCTACTAATTTAAAACCTTTTATTCAATCATGTATGCACCATTCAACAAGTCATTGATTGAATTTGTTCCAAACTGAACTGATTGCAGAGAGTGTTACAAGAGAGGACTGTGTAATTCATAGACTACAGTGTTGCAGGACTGATTTGTATGTCAAGACTGAATGGGAAGCAGCGGCTATGCGATCCTCACTCTGAGAATCAAATCAAGTGCCATTACTATTATCCCCAATCACTGTACAGATGTCTCTCTATTTCTACACCTTCTGATGAAATAATCACATCCATTAAAGGCTCATAATGGTCTCATGTCCAGCCGTTTTAAAGATTCTCTGCAGCTGTCTAAATCGTTCACTCTTCCTCAAGTGAGGAATACAAATATTTGGGGAAAGTCTGGAGTTGCGGTTGTGGTAAGGTGTAAGGGTTTCCATGAAGTTATGAGAACCTGTCTTCCAATTTGCTATAAATTGGGAGTCATTATGTACATTCAGATAGTATGTGGTCATTGCTACTAGGAAGCTTCAGGCCAAGGATTAAAAAAAAAACTTTAAAGCAGAGTTTGTGATTGTCACTAAGAGATTTAATATTCACAGACAGGCCGAACCATGAAGCAGTAGCTTCTCTTTATTGCCCGTTTTCATCTGACGAGGCTCTACACACTTTTCAGACAGCATGGCGTTTGAAATTAACCATGAAACCCCTGTCAGTCGCATGATGGCGAGTGGCATCATCAGACGCGTCACTTTTATGTGCAACAACAAAGTATTTTTCCTGGGCGAACTGCGCTCCTGGTGTGGTCTGAGAGGCAGAAAATGTCCACAGTGTTTCTTCAGTCTCAGCCCCCTGCTGAGGGCTGGGCTCCTGGTGGCAGCTGGTCAGGATCCTGCTGAGCCCCACATCCCACACACACATACAGGCTGCTGGGTTTGCTGTAGGATAAGACTCTGCTAGACCCCTGAACAACAGGCCACTCTACACAGCAGACATCAGCATATTAGACACTAGCAGTAGGAATATAGACTGGCAGCATGTGTGTGTCCATGTCTCAGTGTTGTATCAAAAATGCTTTATTTTAATAATAGAGATGAGAAGAGTGTGTAATGTGTCATGTAATTATAAAAAAAAATGCATGCTGGAGCTCAGTGGTCACAAAACAGGTTTCATTTTGTTCATCTATAATGATCCTTGGCGGAGACACAGGATATAAAGTGTGTGGGTGTGAGACAGGAAGCTGCTGACTGTCAGTGTTAAGTAACCACCTGTGTAAAATGTTACAACAAATCATAAGGCCATAAAATGTTTATATACTCAAGCTCAAGATTAAAAATGCTTCAGATTAATTATATCTTTATCATTATGATTGGAATGGGAGTGTAAGAGGCAACATTTGACCTGGTAATGGTGCTAGGTGAAAACCTAAGGGCTCAATGACTTTATTACAATTCTTTCTGAGGAGAACATGGAAGTCCGCGCTGGTTCCATCCAATGGCTGTAGAGATCTGTCACTCAAAACCACAAATGCCAACCTGCTGGTGGCACTAGAGGAAAAGTCCTGATCACTAAAGTCACAGGGATACATCAACTGGGAACCACGAATGTCTCCAGAGAATTTCATGGTAACAAACAACAAATTAGTTGTGGTATTTCAGTCTGAACCAAAGTATCTGTTCCACCCTTTATAGCCACGCTGCTGACATGGGTACTGGGAATTGTCCCTCAAATCTTGCTGTAGTATTCAATGTATGGCAGCTGATATTCTGATGTTTAGATCCTCTGTCACTACAAGGTTGCAAACTGTCTCACAAAAAAAAAAAAAAAAAATGAAGGCATCTTGAAGTTTTATCGTGTATGTAACCCTCCACCCATCCACCCACCCGTTAACAGTCAGCAGCTGCTCCATACAGGAGGGTCCTTCCCCTTCAAGTCACAACCTGACTGGGAGTGTGTCATTCAGGCCCCTTGATGACCTATTCATAAATATGCACTAAATTTATATACTGTATATAGTCTGTTGTGGTCATCTCCACTACACCGACGTCTTTACTAGAGCTGTAATACAGAGGCATCTCTGAAGTTGCTGTAAATTCTCACTTACAAATGCATGTTGATGGTTTGTCGCCTAATTTAGCTCACGGCCACGGATTTGTCTCACTTTTTAAACCAAGGACTGCTTTGTACAGTCTGGGGGCTAAAAACACGGCTTCAGAAAGAGCTTATTGTTGGAGATTTTCCCCTCACAACCCTAAAACCCTCCAGCTTAAAGCAGTGTTTTGTCTGGAGAACCCAGTTTGAGGAAATACAGTTATGTGTATGTGTGTGTCTTACAGAGAGAAACAGAGAAAGAGAGAGAGAGAGAGAGAGAGAGAGAGCCGTAGTCTGAAGGAATTTAACGAGGGCAACACAGATCTAAGGTTTAAGCACAGAGCCTATCATTGTTTTCATTTCAGTCGAGAGCGCAGCGTGCAACTGAGGGTCTAAAGAGAGGACATTAATGTTGGTGTCATGTGTCCTATCAATCAGGGCTGTGGTGGAGGTCATTACAGCTAGCATTTTTACATTTAAGACATTTATGTATATATACCAGACATATACAGATATGTGTGTAAAAAAAAAAAAAGAAAAAAGATCCTGATTGACAGAAGATGATAGACGCTCATCCTTGGGCCCATTTGTTCCAGTTGTTTACCAAAAACCCGGGCAAGCAAAGTCTTCACTTCCTCAGAACAAGCTGAGAGGAGGGAAAAGTGGGATCAGCGCGATGAAGCCTGCAGTGTGTTCTTGTGTGCAAAGTTATAGAGTCTAGAGGGATGACGTGTGTGAAAGAAGCTCTATCTAATCACTCCCCCATGAGGAAGAAGACAGTGAGAGGGGCTGAAGTGAAGCCAAAGGAGAGGGGAAGGGCCTGACATCAGCAAGCCAAAACAGCTGCCCCCTTCTCCCCCATGGGGAGACGGCAAGGGGAGCCTGATGGAGCAAGAGAGAGAGGGAGAGAGAAGGGAAGAGTGGAGGGTCTGTAAGTGTGGAGCGGGAGAGAGCGGCTTGCGAGGCATTTGAGGGTCTGTAGAGGCTGAAGAGAAGGAGGTATTGGCAAGTGGAAAGGAGGGGGAGGGAAGAGAGAGGTGGTGAGTGTGTGCTTGCATGCTTTCAGAGTGAGGATAGCCAGAGAGCAAGGGACAGGGAAGAGTGTAAGGGGAGAGCAGAAGGGGAAGAGTGGTGGGTAAGACTTGTTGGAGGGGAGAAAGAGGGGTTGTAAGAGGAGAGAGGGCAGGAACGGGGAAGTCATCTGGGGTGGATTTCAAGGCAGGACAAGTTGTCAGGGAGAAGGGCAGAGGTGTGAGGAGTCACTGGGGAGGAAGGAACATGTTGGAGAAGAAGACGTTAAAAACATAAGGAGGCCACTCAAAACATGAAGCACTGAGAGGAGGAAGAGAAGAGGGACCTTCTGGAGTGAAGCACTTGTCTCGAGAGATCAGATAAGAGTTGAGGGGATTAAAGATACAAGACTATAGAGGTGTCTGCTGGAAGTATGGGGTGCATTCACAGCACGAGCACTGGCAGGATGAAGAACCATGGACTTGGTACTGACGCAGGAGGAATCCCCATAAAGGCAGACCCTGAGGTACATCCTGAAATCCTTCAACTTGCTGAGGTAAGCGAGTAACTGCTCTTCGGGGAGCTGTAAACATGCAGGTTGTACACAGAGGAAATGCGCCGCTCATATGATCATATGCTGAGTCGATTTGTAGCTTTTATGCACAAGAAAGAACATTTCTACTCCAAGTGTGAACAGCAAAAATTGGTGATGGAGCTAAAACTCCTGAGCATAAAAAAAATCAGATTGAAACAGACTTCAAGAGCATCAATTGAACTGGTTGTTTGGACGAGCATCATGTGGCAGCTGTTCCACATGTCTGAGGATAGTACTTAGTTTTTGTCATTTGATTCAGCAGAAGCAGCTGGTCTTTGTTTAATTGTTATTCAGTACACTCATCACACACTAGTCATGGACGTCAACCAAAGGAATCCAAAGAATTACCAAAACATTTCCAAATTAGATGAAGCCTGCACGCCAAAGCAGCTCTGTCTCCACTATGAAATATTTCTCCTCACTGTGTTTTCGTCAGCATTAAATAGAACAGAAGCATCTCATGCCGCACATGCTTGCATACCAAAGGATAAATGTGTTTTGCTTGTCCCCTTTTGCACCTGCACCACAAGCACGGACTGCATGTGCAGCTAATGTTTTAATATCTGTCAATATTCAACTGAAGTGCTCGAGAAATATGTCGCACAATTCAATCATCAGCGGTGAGATAGAGGTGGTGGTGGGGGGGGGGTCACACCCTGCAGTGGATGGTCTACTTGATCGCTGTTAATCATGTCCCTCAGGAGTCAGGGTTCAAGAGGAAGTGGTATAAGTTACTGTCCGGTTCCGACTTGCCGTCGGCCTGTCTGCTTGCTCTATTTAGGAACATGTATGGATTTAGGGGCAAGCGACATGTAAAGCCTCTGCAGGACTTTTATAGAGTCTAAAATAAAAGGTGTCTGTTGGTTTAGTACCAGCACCAGGATGTGTGCGTTCTCACATGTCAGACTAAATCATACTCTGGCATGCTGTATGTCAAAATAATAGAACAAAGAGAGAGAGAGAGAGAGAGAGAGAGAACTCATCTCCAAGTGGAATCAGTTTCTTTTGTCCACTGATCTTTTCTTTTGCACAGTAATGTATGTAAATGTTAGGACACTTGTGTGATATGTGTGCACTTTCACAGTGAACTCCTGGATCTTGGTAGAACAAAAACATTACTCAGATCACATGTGGCTTCAAATCCCCATAAAGCCCTCATCGTGTGTGTGTGTGTGTGTGTGTGTGTGTGTGTGTGTGTGTGTGTGACCATGCCAAATGATGATAACATTGTCCCAGTTGAATGGGTGGACTCTGCTATGGAGAGGAATGAAATGTGTCATACATGCAAAGAGTCCAGGAGTTCTGCTTTAGGTTGTATATAATGGATGTTTCTCACTCTCTCTCTCTCTCTCTCTCTCTCTCTCTCTGTCATACACACACACACACACACACACACACACAAACACACAGTCACTCATTCCCGCACCTATTTTCAGCATTTTCATGGCCGTTTAGAGGTGACAGTCTCTACTTATGCAGGTTATAAATACCCTGCCAGAACTGGAGTATACCCCTGCCTCGCCACCTGCTCCTGTCCCTTCCTGGCTTGATCAGTGTGTGTGTGTGTGTGTGTGTGTGTGTGTGTGTGTGTGTGTGTGTGTGTGTGTGTGTGTGTGTGTGTGCGCGTGCATGCGTGCCTGCGTGAGTGTATGTGTGTGTTGCCAAAAGCTGGAGGTTGTGGCTCCTGCTTTCCGGCATGTCATCACTTGTTGTGAGGTGTCACTGAAAAAAAACACTCACACGGACCGAGGCATTTTGTGCAGAGGGGGTGTGTCACTGTACGCTGTGTTCATTTACTGTATGCTTGTGTGTGTGTGTGTGTGTGTGTGTGTGTGTGTGTGTGTGTGTGTGTGTGTGTGTGTGTGTGTGTGTGTGTGTGTGTGTGTGCGCTGCAGCTAGCTGTATATTTTTACCATTTCAATGCATTACCACGTGTTTATTTCATTAAATGTATGTTTTGTGCATTCTGACACAAAAGTTGGGAATCATCAATGTAATGACACTAATATTCAAGGTCATATAATTGTCATTTTTGCACTCTTCCAAACGTCTGCAAAAATAATTGAATGGGACTTTGAGCATTTTCTTTCTATCAGTTGGACTAAAGCCATTGAAATGCTTCTGCTGCTGCTCTCACAGTAATAAAACGCGCTTGCAGCCACAGTCATAAAGAAATCCATTATGCTTCTGTTGGTGCTGTGACCCTCTCTTCATCTCCATGTTAGATGTGGAAGTGCTTCAGGCTCTCTGCAGTGGTCAGAGATGCTTGGAGAATGACATAGACTTTGGCTGCAAAAATCTGAATGGGGTGGGGTTCTTTAATACTGCAATGCAATACTGCAACACTGCTGAGAGTCGCAGGACCCTCTGGAGAATGAATGTCTGCTCAGCCACAGTTCATTCTTGCTGGTAGTGAAAGTACAGTACCTGTACAGTTGAATCCAGTCCATATTCAGTCCAAAGTAAAAAAAATCTGCAATAAACTCCTGCCTTTGGAAAGCTTTAAATGCTCAGGTTTACTGAACATTAAACATATACTGTCACTGTGACCTTTATAGTTTCACAATGATGGTATTATGTGGCACATGTTCTTAATGTTGTGTCCACCTTTGCTTTTGCTTTCTCTTTCTGCTCCTCTGTTTGCTGAAGTACTGACAGGGAGACATGGAGGGAAAGAACAACAACTGGAAAAAAGAGAAATGGCAGCAGCATTATGTAAAAAAAAAGAGATGCCCCCACACTGTGAAAATCACAAGTCATTTCATTCATGGCAGTTTTTAATTTAATGACTGTTCCTCCTTGTAATTATTTGACGAATGATTACCACAAACTCAGCTTCAACTAAAGTGGTTATTCACTAACCTGCTACTTTTTTTTTTTTTTAGAAAACATAAAAGGGTGATTGCCAACTTTTCATCACCCTTCATGATGAAAAAAGGGAAAAGAGGATCCAAAACTTACTCAGACTTTGCATACTGAGTTTATGGTGAAATGGGAACTATAGTGAGAAACTACAAGGTGTAAAAATAATTTGGTCATTTGCTCAAAAGTGAAATCTCAATGTCATTACTTGGTTTAGTTAGGGTTAAACCAGTGTGTCACCAAAACTTCCAAAGTAAAGGAAATGAAAGCAAGGAACCTAATGAACTCTGTTCAGTGTTTACTATAAATGACAATTCAGGTATTTTTAAAGGACAGCTGACAGAAATCTCAGTTGCAATGCAAAAAGCCTAATACTACAGTCTGAATTCTGAATTTCATAACAAGGAACATTATAATGATTTATAATCCTTTCCAGGTTAAATCTCTGTGTATGTGTAGATAGATATATGTGTGTGTGTGTGTGTGTGTGTGTGTGTGTGTGTGTGTGTGTGTGTGTGTGTGTGTGTGTGGGTGTGTGTATGAAAATACGCACAATTTTTGATATTAGAAATACTGTTTGTGGTTTGCTGCTGAGCTGCACTGATTGTATTTGACCACTGAGAGGTGCCCTTGACCCATCTTGATTTTTTTTTTTTTTTTTTTTTCATATTTAACTTCAATCTGGCAGACTGGCATTAAAATATGAGTAATTGCAGTTTGGTTTCAGCATGGAACTGATGAAATGGTGTTCATCCAAAATGAAATGTTCAATTTGTTGTCTGAGATGTTTGTCTCTTGAATAAATTCCCACTGCGCTCCAAATGATGTGCATATAAGCCAATATCAGCACTGATTTCTTTTCTTTCAGTTGTACTACAACTTGGGTCAGATGTGTAGTCACAAAACATGAATACATGTATAAACAGGGCAAAACATTTGTAATTTAGTTGACCCAAAGCAAATGGCAAAGGAAAAATCAATGCAATATCTATTAGTCGCATGCCGCTCAACTGTGACTTTATAGCTATTGATGTTATATGGTATTTTTAACTCCAATGTGTTATTCATAAAGTACTGTTAATAACTTAATGTGAAAATAGGTTTATTGTTGATATTTTAAGCTTTTAGGAAATATTATAGCATTATTGAACTTTTCAGATTATTGTGTCATTTCATTCTGCTTCATTTATCTTTATGTGGAAAGGAAGTAATTTTGATAAAACTTTACTCTTAGTCTGATCCAACGAACCCCTCAGTGTCATTACTGAAAGCTCTACTTTTTATCTCGTAGGTGAACTGAGGTCTGGTTTATGAAGGGACAGCAACTCTGTAGGTCATTACATAAGTCCAATCGATTCCTCCTCCAAAATTCATGAGTTATGTAATAAAATTTAAAATGCAAATGATGAGAGGGGGTGATGATCCTCTTCTCCCCTCATATGCCCTCTTTCTGTCAGGTTCATTGTCTCTCCTCCAAACACCCCCCACGCACACACACACACACACACACACACACACACACACACACACACACACACACACACACACACACACACACACACACACACACACACACACACACACATGCACACACACTCATACTCATACACACAGACAGAGACCCAGATGCCACAGTTTATAGCAGTAGCCATTCGTCATAACAGCAGAGGAAATATGTCAATAGTTACTCTACTGCTTTAATTATAAGATCAATACATACAGCATAATGGTAATATGTTCCATCTGTCCCTGTCAGTGACCAAAATAAACACTGTTTTTCCACCTGCAAGGATTTTTGTTGTTAGAAATGACACAAGAGTAAGCCCACTTTAAAAAATATATATATAAATAAGGGAATTTATTAAAAAACTGATGCCTTTCTGGTGGAGCGCACCCAACAATTTGAACGCTCCATGGGACTCCTGAATCAACAGTGGGACATCAGAGCCTCAATAAATAAAAACATGGTATAGTCTTCATGACTGTATTATCACAGTATACACAAGTTATTATGCTTTATGGTATTGTTCTCTTTACTCTCTCCCACCCACTCTCTCTAGTGAAACTGCAAGTGGATTAAACACACTTGAGTTAAATAGAGATTGAATGTTAATGGGAAAAAAAAATATTAACAAATGCTCTTAAATGATAAAAGTCTAAAATTCTATGGAGTTATTTTACTGAGGGTTGTGAAGAGTGGTCGGAATGAATCAGCTGCATTATGTTCACATTATGTAACCACACAAAGCTCAAGGTAGAGCTACATAAAACATTAATTATGCATTTCTATTCATAAAGGATTTAGACTGCATACCCTCCACTTGAGAGACACAGCTGTTTTATAATACATCGTGGTTAAGTGTAGTTTGCTTCCACTCACAATTCAAGATGGTGGAAGAAGTGAGACTGGTGTCGCCTAGTCAATAAGTGAGTGTTTGTTTGAGTATATCAAAGCCGGTGTGCATTCACCCTCACCTTCCAGAGTTAAATTCAATGCTGCTCCTGTTTGGAAAAAAAAGGCAACGGAAAAAGCAAAAATTCCTGAGCTGAAAAATGTTTTTTCAAGACCAGAGAAATGCATCGAGCCATTTGACTGGAAAAGAAACACCAGTGTGTGGAGGTATGGTGTTTGTGGCCCTCCACCTCTCCCATTGCCTCATATACACACATAGGCGCACACACACATACACATACACACACACACACAGTACAGACACCATCTCCCTCTATGTTTCCAGGCACCTCCTCCCTGTCTGCTCTAAGAAAGATTTAATGTTTTAACGTGCTTCACATGCTGTAAGGAAGGAGGTGTTACTTTGGGAGGGCGTTACCGTAACTTTATATAAACATTGTCCTATTTCTTTTCACTGGGACAGTTGAGTATTGGTTTATAAAAAGAAAAATCTGTGGATTATGACTCAGTGCAGTAAATGTATTTGCCTTAGGACACATACAGTCACTGGGTGTGTGTGTGTGTGTGTGTGTGTGTGTGTGTGTGTGTGTGTGTGTGTGTGTGTGTGTGTGTGTGTGCGTGTGTGCACGTTTTTTCTCCATGTGCACGTGCAAAAAGATGAATGTTTTGTTTTTTCTCATGGGTTAAGGTTCTATTTTTGTAAGTTTTTTACTGTTGTCAAGTATCACCAAGTTTGTTTATGCTATCCCACTAATTATTATATAGAGAATATTTAGAGTTATGTAAGCTCATTGTGTGAACACATCTTTGTGTGTGTTCATAAAACTTTCATTCATTTATAAAGTCTCAGCAGAGTTTTTACTTGAACATTTTGAAATAGAAAGTGAACACTTAGAGTGACTCAGTCTGTGTCAGATTTACCTTAGTCTCTTTCCTTGCTTTGCCCACAGAAGCTCATGTCTGCTGTTTACACAGCTGCCATGATGGCACAGTGTGGTACAACCTCGGAGTGTTGAAAGAAAACTTATAGTAGGCCTGTTACCAAGGAGGAGAGACCCCAGCTTCAGCCAGACTTAAAGAGAGACTATGAGAACATTCACACATTGGGTAGACACAGCATTTGTTATAAACCTGGTTCAGGTATGTTTTGGTTTCCTTGAATGTTTCTCCGCTTGAATGTTTCTCTGTGGGTATAAGGCAAAAGATTATTTTATAAGGTGATGACAAGGCTGTAGAAGCTGAAGACCAATTTATTGTATTTAACCAGGCTAATCATTTTTTAGAAAATATTTTCATTATGTTGGCAATGGGAGGCTAAATGCCTTTTGTGCTGAGGAAGCTGACCTAAAAAAAATAAAATGGGAGAGAGGACAAGAAAGTAAAGATGTTTGTACAAGTCTACAGCACAAGGTAGCAATTCTCTGCTTAAGTTCATGCTAAATGCTAACGCTAGCTTAGCAACATATATGCCCAGAGTGACAATGCTAAATTGCTGATGTTTAGCAGGTGTAAAGTTTACCATGTCATCTTCATCTTAGTTTACTGTGTTAGCATGCTAACATTTGCTAATCAGCTCTAAACACAAAGTACAGCTGAGAGTAAGGAATGTCATTAGCCTTGTAGGTGATTTGTACTGGACAAATAAAAATTTTACCTGCTGGTGACTCTAGAGGAAAATTCGGGGGATCACCAAAGTCAGTAGACTTCACCCTTAGGGACCAGCCATGAATTTCTGTACCAAATTTCATGGTAATCCATCCAGTATTTGTTGAGATATTTTAGTCTGGACAGAGGAAATGACTAAAACAATGAACACCAAGTCCATCTATTCAGCTACATTTAGTTTATTTGTGACCATACTGTTTATTAGAGGGGGCTGGTAGCACAGAAAACTGCTTGTTTTTCATCATCTTGGCTGCCCCACAGACTGAGACAGAATAAGGACAAGTTAAAAGATGAGACAACAGGAAGCCTTAAAACACAGCTTGATATGACAGGTGTTTTTAGTGGAGGAAGCTGAATGTACAGCAGGTACTGCTACACCAGTGCTCATGCTGGTGTGTCACTGAACCAGCACACATCTGCACTGACAGCAGCCACACAGGGGACAGTGAACGTCCAGTACTTCAGTTGGAGCACTGAGAAAACTGCTAAAACAGCACATGTCACTACTACACACTTAGTATGAAGTGTGTGCCATTTGGAAGGCTGTTCAAGGGTTTCAATTCATCTGAATGCCTTCCTCTTACTTCTTTCGAACAGTAGCATTTATTGTTTTCAGCCGTTTATTGCATCCACTGTGTGAATGAATGATGAGATTTCACTCTCTTGTGTGTCTGCAGCTCACCAAGACTGGGAGCCACGCCTTCACAGAGAAGAGCTTCAAGAGGAGACGGGTGTGTGATGTGTGCAAGCAGAACATTGACAACCCCGGGGCTTTCTGCAAGGGTGAGTCCGCGTCTCTGTCAGGTCACGCCGCAGACCCAGAGACACAAGTGGCAAACACTGACACACACCTAGACCTCACAGAGATGTACTCACCCTGACTGTCCTCTCTGTCTGTTTGTCAAAGCTGATTTTCAGAGTAAAACATGTTCCTCTTCCTCCTGTTTGCAGAGTGCAAGGTTGCAGTTCACAAGACATGTGAAGCCAAGGTAAGCCTTATATTACTTCCCTTCTGTCCTGAGCAAACTGTGCTCCTGTGTCAGAGGTTGTTGGGCAGCGATGTTAATGTGATGTGAGTCTTAAGTGGAGTAAGCCATGCGCACTGACCTAGATGTCTGGTTAAAGAAGGCCTCTCGTTGAACTGCAACCAGCCAGGTTGCTATGAGTAATTCAGTCATGTGGTAACACAGCATGGCAGGGGCTCCTGAGAGTCCTCAAGCACCCAGGTAGTCTCTGTGTCTACTTCAAAGCGACTCTTTAATACAGCTTGAGTTGAAGCGTTTGGTCTTATTAAAGTATAATATATTTGACACAATAAATGAGCATTGTGTGTGAGGAGTGCTCTCGGGATGATAAGTGGAGGGCAGCATTGAGCTTTGAGCTGTCTAGGTGGTCTGTATGTGTAGACAGGGGACAGAGTCACTGTCTCCCTGTCAGCCCATCTGAATCTGTTGTGTGTTTTTAGTAACAAGAAAGTCAAATACAATGCGGCAAAATGGCGTTTTAACTGGGCAGGGACAATTGGGAGCTCTTTGATTGCAAGAAATACACTTTCTAATGAACATACATGACACATGGCAGTGTGCTCTGTACACTCAGTGCTGCTCAGTATTTAACAGAAGATGTTTTGGTACAGCCTTTCTGTTGTTAAATGATGTTCGATGTTCAATGACAAATAAGCTTTTGTGTTTCTAGCCCAGTAAACTCACTCTTTTGACTGACAGGAAGCATTTAAGTCCATTGAATTCCCTCACAATGTCCCTGACAGCCCCTGAGAAATACTAACAATTACAATATATGTAAGTTCAAGCTTAAAGGAATAGCTTGACATTTTGGGAAATGTGCCTTTTAGTTTTCTAGCCAAGAGTTAGATGAGAGGATCAATAACACTCCTATATATGTCCATTTAATATGAAGCTACAGTCAGAAGCCAGTTTAAGAATGGGAACATGGGGAAACAGCCAGCCTGGTTCTGTTTAAAGGTGACAAAATCCACCGACCGGCACCTGTAAAGCTCAATAACACGTTATATCAGACACTATATACACTATATGCGGGTGGTATCAATCTTCTCATCTAACTCCATGTTAACAGGTAAAGGTACTAAATCATGAAATCTAGTTCAGCAAACAAGGAAAGGAAATGAGTTGCCATAAATTTGTGGCAGTAGTTTTAGTAGAATTATTGATGGTTTCCTCTAGAAAACATTTGAAACAAGCTAGACTGTATTAAAACAAGCAAAAATCATCATTGTCCTCGAGGCAGATTATTTTCACTTGTTTCAGGGTTTGTAACTCAAATTTAAGTTAAATAGAAAAATGCTGAGGATGTAGTATCATTGACATTGAAAGGAGCTCAATTGCGTAAGTTTTAATTGCACTAATTAACTGGTAAAAGTCAGGTGTTGTTGCTCTTTGTTGTCTTTGGAGCAGGAGAGGCCTCTTTCATTTAAAGAGGACATGTTTGCTCTGTGTAAGAGAGAGACGTTCTCTCTCTCTCTCTCTCTCTCTCTCTCTGTCCACAGCTTATGTCAGACCATTGGCAGTAGTCACCTCTGCTCTCATGTGACCCCGCTCACAGTAGCTCAGTATCACACAACACTGATTGAGCTCATGACCTTGCTGTAACTGCACTGTTGTGCCTCGCTGTCCAACAGCTCAAACACACACACACACACACACATTTGTACTCTGACTGTCATGCAGAGGGACCCATTGCCTTTATTCTGCAGCTCTTCAGGTCAGTTCAAATCCTGTGGGATTTATGGGGGGGGGGGGGGGCTTCCTATCTCCTCCTCTTCCACTCACACACACACACACATCGTCATGGTGTACAACTGGGCACTACCAGCTGTTGTGCCTTAGCAGCATGCATTAAAAGAGGATTATTATTTTGGTCATACTTGTCCCCATGGTCACCACGGTGATAGCCAAAAACAACTCCTGGTGGCTGCAGCAGAGGCAGGCGCCTTGGACAAGAGTGGACATCGTCACACAGGACGATGATCAATCTGGATATGAGAAGTCTGAGCGGGTAAATATAGAAAATAACAAGAGTGCCGTAGATGCCTTCCAGTGAGTGAGCGGTGGGAGGACACAAATAAGTGGGAAGCAGCTGGGGAGGCAAACTCCATGCGTGTGTGTGTGTGTGTGTGTGTGTGTGTGTGTGTGTGTGTAATCAGTCCCATTTGGGGGTATTCATAAATAAAGGGGAACACTGGGCCAAGGCTCCAAACTGCTGTCTGCTGCATGTCTCGCTATCTCTCTTCTGTATATTTATGTCTTTCTATTTGCTCTCTCAAATATCAACATATTACTTCCTTTCGTACTTGTTTCTTTCATCTCTTGCATCTCACTGTCATCATCTTTTCTTTTTTTTACCTTTAATCTCTGTTAGAGTTATCCTTTTTCTGATGTTTTATACTTACATTTAAAGCTTCTCCCACTTTCTCTGACTATTTTTTTCCCCTTTTCAAATCTTTCTTTCATCACTGTGTTATGCCATCTCAGTACCATTTTCATAACAGTCACCAGTAAAGTTCCAGTTTTTTTTTCTTGCATCCTTTGTGCATCATCTTTCTATTTGTCTGACTTGTCAACACTATCTCCATCTAACGCTGCCTGATAGTCCTGATGCCACTTTTATTCTGTCTCTTGTCATCTTTCTGTCAGCCTCAGGCTTCTGAAAAGGTCACTGACCATCAGCACCCTGTGACTTTGCAGGGCTGCCCAGTGTCTGCACGTGGAGTATTGATGTGTGTGTGTGTGTTCTGTGTGTGTGTGTGTGTGTGTGTGTGTGTGTGTGTGTGTGTGTGTGTGTGTGTGTGTGTGTGTGTGTGTGTGTGTGTGTGTGTGTGAGTGCACATGCATGGGAACGCACTTGCACAGTTGACGTGCTGTAACGTCTCTGTGCGTATGACACAAGCAGAGAGTGAGAGGGGAAAGTTATGTTGTATGCGCTGCTGGCTCAGTGGGAGTGTGTGTGTGTGTGTGTGTGTGTGTGTGTGTGTGTGTGTGTTTGTGTGTGTGTGTGTGTGTGTGTGTGTATGTGTGTGTGTGTGTTATATCGTGAGAGAGGGAGGGAAGTAAAGTGAGTCGGTGAGAGAGAGCGAGCAGAGAGTTTGTAAGAAAGAGGGAGGTGGTGTATGACACTCCACAGACAGGACTGCTCAGAGGCTCAGAGGCAGAGGGAAAGACTGAAGCTGCTTGTTGAGAGGTAAAAACACGCTCTGCGCTGTATTTACTGAGTAAAGCTTTGGCTTTTGTTTATTCATATATGCTCAGAACATCAGTTTTGACTTGTCCTGTATTTTTATTTTCTACTGAGTAGCAATCTGACATCCTTAAACCCTTTCCACAGTGTTTGCTCTGATAATGCAGCATGTGATTGTGCATATTATTCCATTAAAGCTGTAGCCAGGGTGCTCTTGCTTTTGCCCAGAAAGAGGATTTCATTTAGTGTGATTAAGGCAAGAGCAGAAAATGAACTGGAGACTCCTGCTGTGACCGGCTGTGACCTACAAAAAAATACACAGATTTTAATTTTTAATACCAGAGAGTGAACTCATAAGATTTACTTTTTAATGAGATAGTTGTTACTAGGCGCAGGTTAATAGATAACAGAAACTGTACCAACAACCCTGTTCTATATAGTAGTCTATTATACATGTCTGTAAATGTGATATTTTGTAAAAACATGCAGCCAGACTGTTTTTGATTGGATGTCACAGCATCTACTTACTGTATGTATCTGTCTATTTCAACACTGTGTACACATGTCTGTGTTACATGTTGTGTATTGACAATCATCACACAGGCCACCTGACAGAGACAAATGGCTGTACTGAAGTCAGTCAGCTGTCCTAACATCATCTGATGGATGCTAATGTTGCGTAGTGAAATACAGATGGTTACAGTGTCTGCTCATACAGACCAGCTGTTCTGCTAATGCTTCATGCTGACTTGTGAATTGATATTGTGATTGTGATGCTATAAGGACTATGTGCTTGTGTAATAGGTAAGTGTTATACATTATAATGTTGTCACTTTGTCTTAATTGGTGCCAGTGGGGCTGAAACAGATTTTTTTTTTTTTTAAAGTTTCCTTCAAAGTTGCAAACCTCCTCTGCAAATTCACATTCAACAATTGAAAATGCTGTCGAGATGTTGTGAGGATCTGTGGCCTTTCTGCTATCAGGTGGTGTCTTGAGCAAGTCATGTTTTTCAACCTTTTCTGTTGTTTGCGTCTCTCCATGGGGAACCGAGAGGACAAGCTGTCCAGTGGAAGCTCATTGCAGATCAATGGGAAGGTAGAGACAACAAAGTCGATGGAGATAAAAAAAAAAACTAAAAAAAAACTCATTAGGATGGTGCTTGAAGTAGACATTGTGGGTAGAAGATTCTGTCTGAGGAACATCTGTGTAACATGATTAAGGTGGTGACTTATTATCGTCACATTGTTGTTGCCATTTATAACCATCGCTGCCATGATGTAGTGTGTACAGATCATTTTTATGGTTCATTTAATTTTACAACTTTATTTGCCTAATCAATAATAAAGTATTACAAGGACAGTGCACATACACATGCATGCACATTGTGTGTATATTTACTTAAGTCTTTTCATTTCCTGAGAGGCTAAGTGATAAGTATGGATGTACAGCAAGCCTTGTTTAATATTTCGGGACTTATACACTTCCTATTTTTGGCAGGGTCATAACAGCATCTTTAAATGAATTGGAGCTCAGAGGGCGTCATTAATAATGATAATATTTCTTAATTTCATTTGATAATGGATGGATATAGACAGCAGGACACTATTAATTTATGTTATCTTCAGCTACTGGGTGTTAACTGTTGTTGGGCGAAGTGTGAAGGACCAAATACAAAGTTATGTTAGTTTGCTGTTGCCATGCTGCTGCTGCTGCTGCTGGAAAGGCAAGTGGATTTGTGAGATGACTGATGGACAAATAGACAAAATGAGCCCTGAGGAGTTCTGAGAGATGTTTGGTCTAAAATAAGGAGCTCTGTCAAAATAGCTCTGTGAAATCTCTCTGGTCTGTGTGAGTGGTCAGGAGGCATGTTCAGCTGTTGACATCTCTCTCCCATCCAGCGCTCGCTCTCGCTTTCTCTCTCTGTTTGCCTCATCTCCTTCCTCTTCCCGTCTTCCCTATGTCATTTATTTTTTCTAAGCTCTCTCTATCTCTCTACTCCCCAGACAGTTTGTTTGTTGCTCTTTGAGCCCTTGTTTGTGCTTCCTCTTGTTCCACTCTTCTCCGGGCCAGTTACAAATCTGATTCGCCCTGGCTGTGGGTGATGCTTATCGAGGTGTTCTTTGTCATCTGATGTTGTTTATTCAGGGGGAGCACATGCTTGTATCTCATGGCAGGGATGATTATAGTTATCCTGTCTCCAGGCACTGAAAGTCGAGAGGGAGAGGGTGTGAGGTAGTAGGAGAGGAGGAAGCAAAGGGGAGTGACAGGGGGTAGGGGGGGTAGGAAATGGAGAAATGAGGGATCAAAGGTGGGGGAAAAAGAAAGAGAGGTAGTGCGATAATGAGAAGAAGAAAGAGATGGGATGTCATCCTTTCGTGTAAATCACAACCACTCCTGAACTTGCCCTCTGCTGCTCTGGGTAAAATGTTAAATCTGCACAAAAAATAGAAAGGTTTATTAAGCTTTCAGTGGGCATTAGTGTCTTTTTGTGAGACTATGGAACTTGGAATACGACATGGTTATTTTGCTTTTCCAGTTTCAAATGGGAAAGCTTACTCACTTCTCCCTCTCCACTGTGCGTGACGTCAGCTATGAGTTAACTGTCAGAATAAAAGTCGCTCCTCCTGGACGTCGTACCGATGTCTGTGTCTCAAACACTCACATTTACCAATCTCCTGCTTCCTTGTAACTGACTGTTGGATTTCCTCTCCCTGGGATAGGAGTGATGAGTCAAGATGTGGCAGTGAAAACTTTTCAGAGCCGTGCCACAGCCAGTGTGTTTTGGAGGTGATTATCAGTCAGGAAACACCAGAGGAAGGATTCACTGTTACACTCTAAAGGTTTAATGGAGATTCATGTTGATTAATCAGTTGTAATAAGTCAGTTTTTCAGTCGATAAGATCAGGCTGTAAGTATCAGGAAGAAGTGAAAACGCTCATGACAGTTTCCTAGAACCCAAGATGATGTCTTATTGAAATAGTTGCACATTTTAGGAAACACTTTCGCTTTCCCTGTTTTCAGTCTTTATGCTAAACTAAGATAACTATCTGCTGGCAGTAGCTTCATATTCATGCCACCATCAGATTGGACGCCTAGTCTGTTTAGCTGGGTTACCTTGTTCATCATGAAACACTTTTCATTTATCAGGCAACAGCTGTGTCCAGATCCCACAGACATGTGAGCGGTATCAAGCTTTTCATCATATTCCCAACAAGAAAGTGAATTTCAAATGTTGTGTTGTTTTGTCCAAGGACCAACAGTCCAAACGTCGAATCCCCACATTTAATGAGGCGAACGAACCATTTTTGCTTGATAAAGGACTGAAAAGTGTACTTTATGAACAAGGCGAACTGAGCCAGGCATCCAGTCAGTAAGTCCCTGAGGGTGGGATCGAGTGCTGTCACTGGCACCTCAGTAAATGCTAGCTGATGAACAAGACAAACTGAACCAGATGGCTCTGTTCCCAGTGGCTCCAGCGTTCAGTCCACATGCATTAATGAAGACCCTGAGGCTGGCAGAGCTACCAAAGACACGTGTACACACTCTGCATGTTTGTGTGTGTGTATGTGTGTGTTTGTATGTGTGAACCTAGGTTGACCAGTGCTGACATCCTGTTGCAAATTGCTTCCTGTTGACTCTGCTGTCTTCCTCCTCTGCCTTTATGCTGCATGTTGGTGCTCTCTGCCTCAAGGTTCAACCCTGCTCTTCTTTTGTGTGCATGTTTGTGTTTATACATGGGTACATGTGTATGTTGTGTCTGTCTCCTACTGTTCCTCCCTGGAGCCGACCACTTTATCCACTTACTGTAACTATCATTATTAAACCTATTAAGAGAAGATTTCTCCCCTATGGCTGAATCTCTCTCTCATTTCCTACTGTAGGTTTTTATAATGTCCTTGTACACTAACACAGGAAAGATTAGTAGCATGTGAAAATATTAACAAATAACTCAATAACAAATGACGCCTGTTAGTGCTGTATATTGGCTGTCATCCTGCACGACAATAATCACATAACAACATCATCTTGTCAGTTCAGCAGTAGCATATTTTGCCGTGCCGTAACCAATTACAGCCTGCCCTTTTCCCCTTCACTCATCCTTTTTCTCAGTCCTCTGTAGATCACATGCCTGTTTTTGTCCTTTCTCTGTTACGCCTCTGTAATGTCATTTACCATGTCTACTTCGTGTATCACAGACCCTGTGTGTCCTATGAAAATGAGAAAGTTATGATTTGGGTTTATGTAATATAAAACCCATCTTCTGTGCCCATGACAAATATTTTTGGACTATTTGAAAAATAAAAAAATAGAAACCTAGCAGATCAAATATAATGTTCCAGGTGTCACCGTAGCTAACTTTGAAATGCACAGCACTAAAATAAAAGTGAAATGAACGAAGATGCATAATAAATTGTATTCTTTTTGTCTTGAGAAAAACTACGAAGCTCATAATGAAAATAATGTCAGTAATTTTTTAGCCAATTAGCAATTAAAACAAAGAGTTTTTTTATGCTAATTCAGAATCCAAGCTGATTTTAGTCTCAGTTGATAAAAATACAATAAAGAACTACTGGCGCACCTCTGCCTTGACCACCCAGAGGGCATTGGCTGCCATTTTTCTTATTATAAGTCATATCAATATAATGTATCTACTGTGCATTATTAATGACTCTCTCTGAGAAGCTGCACATGGATCATGATGCAGAAGCTGCACCAGCCCCTCACGGTGGTATCATGAATTCATCAGTGGTTGCCTCAGTTTAGCCATAACAATGTAATGTTGGTGTTATTGACATGATGAAATGATATGCAAGTATTCTGTACCCAGTCTGAACACAGACAAAAAAAACAAATCAACCTTGACTGTCAGAGACTGTCAGTGGAAATCAAATAAACTTACAATCAAACTCCTCTGTAGCTGGAACTGAAAAACATACTGTACTTGACAATCCCTTGTAATAAGCTTTAGGTTTGTTTTTTTTTGTTTTTTTAAAACTAACAAAGTGAACACAGTATCTACATGGATGGTGATAATTCAGTGTAAATTTTAGCACATTGTATTTCTGCATGGCTGCTGTTGTTTTCCTGGCGGTGTTTCAGTTGTGTTTCGTTGTGATTGTGAGGCATCTGGCTTGTTAACCTGTTGCTTGACACCTGTCAGCACTGGCCAGCGCTCAGCCACAGAGGGCAGCTCAGCTGTCAATCATCCTCATGGGATAGTTCAAAGGCCAAAAGTTGACAGGGTGTCACCTATCAAGGTTTACAGTGAGAGCTGTGCAGTGGGAGCTGTGCTGTAATACTGAATGTTTGATACCATTTCTTTGGCTCATCTCTTTAATTTTCTGCTGTGGTGTCACTTATCAGCTTGTTGTCATTATCTAATGACTCCATCAAATGAGCTGGAAAAGTAACACATACCCTTATAATAGTTTATACTAGCTCGTCGTTTCAGGATCAACTGTTATCCTGATAATAAACAATTCAGAATAGAAGAGGCTATACAGGAATGTGCTCAGGTCTGTTTGTATAGTAGTGGCTGTAGTCTGTTTGCATGACCCCAGCTTCCCTCTCTCTGTGTACGTGTGTTTGTGGTTTTGGCAAGATACTCTTGGCACACCAGCAGAGGACAAGGACTGCACGCCACATGTAGACTCATCCTCTTGTAAACTTCATCCGTCCCTCTCCTTCACTCCTTCTTCTTAACCAAGCAAAAAAGTGCAATCAATCATTTTATGGAGTATCTCTCTTTATACTGAGCATTTCTGCTTATTCACCTGCCTGGTCAGCAGAATAAACACTGGTCAGTTGATCTGCAGCGCGAGAGAGAAAAATTCAAAAAAGCCAAGACAATGTCCCCGTGTTCTTTATATTCTTGCCGACGTGCAGGTATGCAGGTGCTTGTCAAGGTTTGTCTCTACGTGTATACATCTTTGTGTTGTGTGTGTGTATGTGCGTGTGCGTGTGCATGTCTGACATAATGCGTCACTAGCTCATCATGTGGAACGGCCAAATCTGCACTGACAGCCTCTTCTTCAAACCAGCTGCTGCAGATGACAGGAGGAGAGAGTGAGAGAATTTTACTATCCTCTCCATCAGCCCCTCATCCTTCCTCCTCACCCCTCCCCTCCTTCCCCTCCCCTCCATCTCTTCATCTGTGCTGCTGGAGCAGGACCAAGAGCATTAAACCAAACACATGACTTGGCATGCGCTGGTCCATTCCCAGTGTGTTCGTGTGTCCGTATGTGTGCATATGGTGGTGTGACTGCTGCAAAAGCTAACCATGTGTTCACCATGTGTTCCTTTCCTTTCAGGTGACTCCCACCTGCACCTCAACTACAGATCTTGTAAGTTTGTGCATGTGCATAAAAATAGTTTTATATGTAATGCAATCAGTAATTACTGTACAGTTATTCTTTTCTGTTTGTTTCTCAGAACGGTTCCATTAAATCTACATCACAGAAGAAAAGAGGCTCAATACCAAGGTAAAACAGATCACACATCAAGACAGAAGAAATTGATATCAAAGATGTAAAATGGACACAGACAAATAAATAGAAAAATGAAGTAAAATCAACATTAAGGACATAAAGGTTGGCCATCTTAACTGCCTAATGGCTGTTTTGGCTGCACTCAAACAATGGACTCTCACAATGTCCAGGAGTAAAAGTGTGGAACAAGTGATGGAGCATGTGATGGAGCACCACTACGACTTCGACCTCACCTACATCACAGAGAGGATCATCTCAGTCTTCTTCCTGCCAGACCTGGAGGAGCCGCGGTACCACAGAAACCTACAGGAAGTGGCCTCCATGCTGAAATCCAAGCACCAGGACCAGTTTCTGGTTAGTAGTAAAACTGAAATCTTAACACATACAAACTCGATGTTGTGATTCGTCTCCTAGAAGGACAGAAGCAGTCAAATTTAAGTAATGGCTGCTATTAAAGGTATTAAAACTAATTATAGAGGTTTTATTTGTATATTTGTGTAACTGACAGGAATGGTTATTACTTTCAGTCCTTATTTGTGATGATAGGGAGTATTAAACTACCAAAGTTTTCTTTAAATTTTTTTATTTTTTGTAAAAAAATAAATAAATAAAATAATGATATATCTCTCATACCTTACATATCTCTGTCTTTTCCAGCTACTGAATTTATCAGAGAGGAGACATGACATCACCAGACTTAATCAAAAGGTACAACAAACTGAAATCTCACACTGCATCTCAACAGATCACACACTGCTTCAACTACTGAGACACGACAGAGACACATAAACTATGTATGCTGCCACTTTGTATTTTCAAAGTTTGGAACGGTTTGACTTCTCTTATGCGGTTAAGGTGCAGGACTACGGCTGGCCTGATCTTCATGCCCCACCCTTGGACAGGATCTGTGCCATCTGTAAGGCCATGGAGACTTGGCTGACCTCTGACCCCAGCAACGTAGTGGTCCTCCACTGCAAGGTTTGTGCAGCCCGAATCCACATCACCTTGCTTTGCTGTTAACATATAAAAAAAACAATTTCATGACGTTGATCTGTGTTCTGACAGGGACACAAAGGGAAGACGGGGGTCATTGTGGCAGCCTACATGCACTACAGCAAGATATCCGCTGGGTAATCATTACTAGTGTAACAGGACACTTGCCATACCAACATGTGTAAAGATCACTTTTCAGTTATATTTTGTTGTCATCATGTCTGAAACCATCTTTGAATAAGTTTTGCTCAATGTGATCACTGTAGTGCTGCGACTAACAGTTATCTATATAATCAAAAAATCTGCTGATTATTTTTCCAATTAATCCTTTGGCACATATCAGGCCTGAAAAAATATCACATTTTCCCAGAGAACGATGTTACATATTTAAATAGCTTGTCCAAACAATGGTCCAAAACCCAAAGATATTCAGTTTACTTCACAGAAGACAGATATTACAAATACTGATTTAATTGATTATCAAATTTGTTGACCATTCATTTTCTTTTGATCCACTAATCGACTCATCAGTTAATCATTTCAGGGCTAGATCTCTGTCCTCAGTGCATTCACGTCTTGATCTTTGTCTAAAATGCCAATAAAGCGGTCAGTGTAGAATAGATTGAGTTGGTCACCACCAACAGCCATGATTTACTCTAGGCATACACCTCATCCCCTCACTATCACTTACAAATGATTGCTTACACACATCTGTAAAGCGTGTATTAATACACTTGTGCTGGTGTCCACAGAGCGGACCAGGCTCTCACCACACTGGCCATGAGGAAGTTCTGTGAGGACAAAGTCTCGTCGTCCCTGCAGCCCTCTCAGAACAGGTGTGACACACTCATCTACAGTTTATATCACCTCCTCTCCCGTATATCACTTCTTGTGATGCTGCTGTCATCACCTCATGTCGCTCTCTGCTGTCATTGCATCACTTCCTCACTTCTCTTCTTCAGGTACATCTACTACTTTGGCGGTCTGCTGTCAGGTACCATCAAAATGAACAGCAGTCCTCTGTTCCTCCACCAGATCCTCATTCCCTCTCTACCAAACTTCCAGACTGGAGGAGGTCAGTTTTACACAAACAAATCTTGGTATAATAGCTTGCAGTGCTGTGATGGGTATTATGAGCTTTGAATAGTGAACACAAAATGTTTAACAATGTTAAAGGCAAAAAAAAGAAACAATAGAGCCTTTGTCTGCAAACTCTCCCTGTTTTTTTTATTGCTGTTATCCTCACTTCTCTCTGTTTTTGCAGGTTTCTATCCGTTCCTGAAAATTTATCAGTCTCTTCAGCTGGTCTACACCTCAGGCGTCTAGTAAGTACATGGTCAGTTGTCCAGTTGCACCACTGGGTTTTCAGCTCACCTCCTGTGGGCGGACGTGTCTCCCTCCCTCCGTCCCTTTGACAGATGTTGTCTATACAGGCCAGTGTCTGTGTTTAGGTGTAGGCTGGTCTGTGTTTATGTTAAAGTTAACATTGTTTACCAGTGTTTCCAACTGAGACATGTTTCTGACTGGATTTATGTATAGTTCTATGGCTGTTTCTTTTTTTGTTTATTTATTTTTTTACTTTGCATGTGTGTGTGTGTCCAGTGATCCCCAGAGCTCCAGGGCGAGGAAGCTGTGTGTGACTATGGAGCCAGCACTATTATTAAAGGGGGACATAATGGTGAGAAACAGTTTATCATGAACTGTATGTCACTAATTGGAAACCTTACTTGCACTGCAGCAATAACTGCAGTGCACCAGCTGCTATTTTGCCTATTTATTGTAGCCAGTTTCCTCCACTCCCACTGACTTTTGTGCTTTCATAAATACACATTTCTTTCCTGCCTGTCATGCACTTTTGTAACTTTGCTTTTAATAAGTGCCTGATTTTTTTAAAACCTCTTAAGCTACAAATCCTCTGCAGACTATGAACATGCATACTTAATTACTGACTTGCATGTCTCTTTGAGAGGGTAAAAACATTAAGAGCCCTTAGTATCCTACAAAGACATGTAGGTACTTTATTTATCTCAGAGGGTCACACACAGCAGCAACACGCTGAGAACATACCATCACACACACGATATAGGATCCAACAAAACACAGTAACAAAGCTAATAAAAATTAGATTTACTATTTTATCACGCCAGCAACAAGTAAGTGTTAACATTTCAATACATTCCATGAGAAATGAGTCTTGCTATTTATATCACTCACGCTTACTTGCATCCTCTCCTGCAGGTGAAGTGCTACCACCGGCGGAGTCGAGCAGCAGAGAGGGAGGTGGTCTTCAGAGTCCAGTTTCACACCTGTACTGTTCACGGGGCCCAGCTGTGGTTTGGCAAGACTGAACTGGACCTGGCCTGCACAGGTATGAAAATAGAGACTCAATAGTTTGCTTGTAAATGCACCAATTTTTGCACAGCTGTGACAGAAGGGATTAGAGAGAAGGGTATTTAAAACCATAAGACTCTACTACTGCTGTACTTCACTAAGATCTGAATATGTTGTAAACATATGAAAGAACAAATGGAAACCTTCTGCTGTATATTTTTATTGCTTCCTTGAAATTGTTTACAGGGATGTATAATTTAAGACCCACTTACTCTTTACTCCATTGTTGGGTTCATGTATATTGAGACAAATAGCAAATGACAGTGTCAGGTTAGATGAAACAGAAATACTTCTACATGGCCCAGTAAGCAGCCGTCTCATGACAGTTGCTCTTAGTGCAACGTGCTGACGCATGCATACAATGTATAAATATTACCCACACTCATGCATGGAAAAGTAAAACGAAAGCTGATCTCAGACGGCACATTTCTTTGAAGTGCTATGCTCTGTTTACTTGAGCCATATTCTGTCGTATTTATTTCCATCATGAAAAGTGATGGCAAGTATCTTTATTTATTAACGTTGGTTTTTCTACTTCACAGATCTCTTGTGAATGTTTTTATCACTCTCTGTAGTTGCAGTCTGGATATTTTAGTTTCCCTTTATGTTGGTCTTTCTGCAGATGACAGGTTCCCTCCTGATGCTACAGTCGAGTTTATCTTCTCCAATGGGCCAGAAAAAATGAAAGGTGTTTATCATCAGCTGTCTGTCTCGCACTGCTTCCTGTGGTACATTTCGTGCTCATAATCCTTTTCTTTTTTACATTTTTATATGCTTCACATTAAAATGTCTGCATTCCAAGGTCGAGAATATCGTAAGAATGATGCCTCTATCAAAGTGGACTTTGACACCTCAGACCCTGTGGTCAGATGGGATTCTTATGAGAACTTCAACCTGCACCACCAAGACAGCATGGAAAGTAAGAAACATACACACAGGTGCAAAAAAGTAAGCTTTAAGGTGGAAAAATCAAACATCACATCACACTCCCTTCTCCTTTCTACCAGATATCTCTCATACGAGGGGCCCACTGGACGGCAGTCTATACGCACAGGTGAGGAAGCGACGTGGGCCGGGCTCAACTGCCTCAGCAGCCTCTCCCAATGGATGCCTCACTAGCAGCCCAACAGTGAAGCCCCAAACTCCCAGCCAGCCCCAGCCCCCCACCTACACCAGTGATTCCAATCGCTCCTCAGCACCCACTGATCATCTGCAAGACGGCTCTCCGTCCATAAACTGCCCTGAGAGAGAAAATCCTGACTGTCCATCGAGGAGAGGAGACGGGGAAGACAGAGCAAGAGATAAAACAAGAGGGAAAGAAAAGGATCGGGAGACGGCGATATTAGATGATGGACAACCGTCAAGTCCGGGGGGTTTGAGGCGAGAGCACTCGTGTTGTGGTCGAGCAGGTGCAAAGTGTGGCGACGTGGGATGGGAGAGAGGGCCCTGCCTTTCTAATGGTCACTGTCTCGGACGTTGCAATAGCATTAAAAATCATCCAAAAAGTCAAACTCTGCCTGCTTTACCATCCAAATCTGTGTCCCCTCCTCTAAATTCAGCTCATATGGAACTCTGCCATCGCCATAGTGCCCATCCTTTACCAGAGTTACCATGGGAACGTCCACCCCCACCCCCGCCACCACCCCTGTCCTGTCTCCACAGGCCGTACTACCCTTATTCTACCCCTGAACATGCACACCCACACAGCCACACCCTCCCAGCCTCAAACCGACTCTGCACCGGGGAGGAGTGTCACCTCTTCCATTATTCCAGCCACGGCCCATCCGCTCATCTCTCCCATCAGTCACTGCCCTCCAGCCCTTACAGGGAAATGTTCTTCAGCTCTCCAACATCGTCCTCTGGTTGCCCCTGTTGGGACTGCTCCAGCAGGCGAGAGCACCAACCATCCTCAGTCAGAACATTCCACCCATTGCACCCAGACCAATCGGAGAACCCACACTGGTCCCAAGGTGCAGGGGCACAACGAACAAGAGAAGCGCCTCCGCTATGGGAAAGTGAAAATCCATGGGAGGTGGCAAGAGAGGCCGAGTTCTGGCAGTGCAAATCAGCTATGCCTGCGTTTCGGGTGTGTCACTCCTCTTTGGATCAGAGTCCAAACCCGGAGCAGCCTAGATTTGCCCTCGCACCTCACCAGAGCTACCATAGCCCCCAGTCTCTGGTGGATGTGCGGGATGGAGCCAGCAGTGGGTACCACACGCCTCCACAGCCCCGTCACTCCTGCCCCTGCTCTCCTTATCAGTCCTCCCCGGCTGAGAGCCACGAGAGCCGGGGTTACGCGTCAGGATACCACTCTGGGTCAGCCTCGCCTCTGCCTGCTGGTAGCCCTTCTTCTGGGAAAGGCAGGCTGCCCGAGACGCCCTCTAGATGCAGAGAACAGCAGCATGCTGAAGGTGAATGATGGACACAGTGGTGATTGTTTTGGGTTTTTTTTTTTTTTTACACTGAAATACTTCTTGTAACTTTTGTTTTTATGATTGTTTTGTTTTAAATTAATCTTGATTTATTTTATCTTGCTTCTTAAAGTGGAGAATGCCAAAACTGATGTGGACGATGACATATCCCAGGGTTCAGAGAATAAATCAGACTCTAATGGCCAGACAAGCACCCCTGGACTGGACTCTGATCATGACTACACACTTATTGGTAGCAGCAGCCCAACACACACTGAAGACAGGTGGGTGAAACTTTCTTTTTTGACATCTACTAATATTGAAAATAAAACATTTATCCAAACAAACTTATTAGTTCATATTTTGTTTTGCAGTGTTACTGCTGATAGCCCTTCTCAAAGCCAAGAAACCTCCACACAGCTCGACTCCAGCACAAATAGTAACAAAACTATCACACCAGTACCGGCAGAAACACAAACCCAAACTTCCGGCATATCCATAAACTCCGCACAATCATCAAGTGAGCTGAGTTTGAGTTCTGATGGAAAGATCGGCGCTGTCAGGATCACAGGGAGTGCTGAAGGATGTAAGCAATCGCATGCTTCAAATTATGCTGCTGTCATCATCACCCCGGTTCAAGTGCAACTCAATGGTTCTGCCCTTCCCAGCGATACCACATCCAACAGCAGCAGAAGTGTAACCATGAACCCTTCTGTTAGCCTCACTTCCAGCCCCTCCACCACTTCCCCAAATTCTCCTATTGGCTCTCCAGATCGGCAGTCCTCTCACCAGTGCTCCCCATTGGCTGCAGACACAGCAGGGCACAGACTGATCCCAGACAGAGACAGCTCAGCCGACAACAAACCTCCATCACCTGTGCCCGACGGCTATCACACACCCACATTTCCCTTAGCTTCCTATTACTACCCATTACTAAACGTCCCCCATGTCCCATACACGGGCTACACTGCAGTCACCATCCCCGCCGTCCAGCCACCGCTCCCCGAGAAGAAACGCCTTTCCTCCACAGCAGGATCCCTGAACGGACACAACTCTCTTCTCAGAATCTCCTCAGCTCCTTCCCCCACACACCACGTTTCTTTCTCCCCTGCTACGGGAGAGCAGAGACGTGGGTCTACGCAGTCTAGCTACAGGGAGGAGGCAGACATCAGGGTTAATGCAAAGTTTGTCCAGGATAGCTCCAAGTACTGGTACAAACCAGGCATCTCGAGAGACCAAGGTGAGGATTGTACACAAATGCAATGCCTGTATTTAACATTACCAAGAAATCCAGTCTTTATGTGCTCTGGTGAGTAAGCGATATTTCGTCTTTCATTTTTAACTACAGCCCCTTCACTTTAACATGTTCTCTCTGCTGTAGCTATAGCTGTGTTAAAGGACAAGGAACCGGGGACTTTCCTCATCAGAGACAGTAACTCTTTCCAGGGGGCCTACGGTCTGGCCCTCAAAGTGGCCACCCCTCCTCCTAATGCCAACATCGCTGGAGGCAAAGGTATCCATTATGAATGCAATGTTAATATGAATGAGCTGGCTGCCAGTGGGCCTTTAATGACATATCAGAGGAAAAAACTAAGCACAGGAGTAAATAATAAAAATATATAATGGCTGAATTCCATTTAGCTGTTTCAGTGTCAGGGTCCTGGTGTTGTTCATGCTGACTCACTGTCATAGCTTACTGGGACACTTGAATACTACAGAGCCATTGTTAATGTTATTAGTAACACCTGTGCTTTCCCCTAATGTGGCAAGATAAAATGTCTGCTGTGAAGAAGGCCTATGGCAGGTGTCTTTCTTGTGACTGTCTTGGCACCAGTGAAATAACATCAAACTCCTATTCAACAAGCTATATTTAGAAATGTGATGGCAAAACGTCAGCGGTTGATTAGTTACATAATTTCCATTCATCTACCGAGTCTGTTTTATCACCCAAAATGACTGCAGACTTGTTTTAGAGGAAGACACCTGACAGCAAATCAGTGTAATTACTTTAAGTAATTATTAGTTTCTGATCCAGTCAATGTGTGATTTCCATGACCTTGTTAATTTGCATTTATGCTGTTAATACTTTAGTTCAAATGACATCTATGTTTTAGTTGAGAACAACTGTGTCACTAATCCAGTGTTAATGCTGAATTAAGCGCTGGTTTAATACTGTTCAAATTAAGACACAAGTACCAAAATGTTCATTATTCTCGTGCTTTCTTGTTTATCTTTTTGCTGCATCAACAACTAATGATGATGATAGAAATTGTAAATAGAATTTTGTATATTTTGTGTATGTATCACACATCCTTATAGAATATGCTCTGCAGCAAGACAGTTGTCCTTATTTTTCATCATTGCTCCTTCACTTCTCACCCTCCTCTCCTCTTTCCCAGGGGATCCTCTGGAACAGCTGGTGAGACACTTCCTCATCGAGACTGGGCCACGGGGAGTGAAGATCAAGGGCTGTCAGAACGAGTCCTACTTCGGTCAGTTATGTGTATAGACACAACTGTCACGACATGTTTCACATATTTAGCTATGTATGAGATACTGAAACTTATTATCTGAACCTGTAAAACCAAGAGAAAGTGTGTTTTTTCTTTTTTTTTATTTACTTGCTTCCCAGTTCCTTATTTTCTTTAATTTAATTCCTTTTAATCTGTCATAATCATAGTCTGTTTTACCCATTTCCTCTTTCTGTCTTCTTTCTCTGTCTCAGGAAGTTTATCTGCCCTGGTGTACCAGCATTCAATTACTCCCATCTCTCTACCCTGTGCCCTCCGCATCCCAGAAAAAGGTAATATCAGTATCATTACATTTACTCATCGTGTTGTCATGATTTTTACAACTAAAATTAAATATCCACCTTTTCAAATGAGCTTTTCTATTGTTAGAGAACAAATAAATGACTATTAATCAAAGACTAGAAGGTTGTTACAACAGTTACACACTGGAGCCTCAATCATTTAGATGGTGCTGTCATGTAACTGAAGACTATGATGTTTCAGACCTTGTTGGGGAGCTTCAGGAGATGCAGAGTGCAACAAACACCAGCACAGCAGCTGACCTCCTCAAACAAGGAGCAGGTAACACACATGCTTGTTTTCTTTATGGTGATTCTGTTGCTGTATGAACTTCCATAGAGGATGAATCTCATGTAGGGCAGTCGTTGCAGTTCTTTCTTTTGACCAGCAGAGACTGTTCAAGCCTCATATTTTCATAGCACTGACACATAAGAACTCACATGCTCATATTCATCCACGTTTTCTCATCTCTTTGATGAACCAGCCTGCAATGTGCTTTACCTGAACTCAGTGGAAACTGAATCACTGACGGGGCCGGAGGCAGTTTCCAAGGCAACCAAGTGCACTTTGGCTCTGAGTCCGCGTCCAGTGGCAACGGTGGTCCACTTTAAAGTGTCCTCTCAGGGGATTACTCTAACAGACAGCAAAAGAAGGTGCATCTTAGACACTGCAGTCTTACTTATTAGCAACTGCATCACACTTTTAACTCAGTGGGTGTCACTGGTTATCTTATTAAAAAGTGGTATTTGTTACTGCATCAAATTGTTGCTGCATGACACGGTGTTTGCATCAGTTTGATGGAAAAAAAACTAATGCCAAAGACAAATGAGTAATTTTGTTTGTGTTTACACAGGCTATTTTTTAGGAGACACTACCCAATCAGCAGTGTCACATTCAGCAGCCTTGACCCCCAAGACCAGAGGTGGGTCACTGATACAAATCGATTTTAATAAAGCTATATGTGTTTGAGTTACTGCTGATTACCTTCAATGAGGGCAGTAATAAGTGTGTGCCTGCTGCTGCTGCTGCTGCTGCACAAATACCTCTTGTATTGGCTTATATTTTATAAATATAAGTTGATTTGCTTGTCTGCTTTTTGACTGTGATAGGTGAATAAGTAGTGCTAGTCATTGCCTAGTCTTATAAAACAGTCTCCATGTCCTTGTTATTCATGTGTTCCTGCATTTTGTCTCTGTCTCTATTTGTGTACCCGTGCTTCAGGTGGACTAATTCTGATAGCACATCAAGCAGGTAAGTGCTTGTGTCACTGTGTGTTTTTCTTGGCGAGTGATATCACCGACTGGTACCTTGTGCTACTTTGCATGGCAATTAATCAAAACAATTAGATTCGTTACTCTGACTTCTTGAGAAAAAATCTAGGTTTCTTTCAGTGTCAAATACTATTTGCTTTCCAGTCTTTTGACTTCTCTCGTCTCTTGTTTTTGCTGCAGGATGTTTGGCTTTGTGGCCAGGCGGACAGGCAGTGCCACAGAAAACGTGTGTCACCTATTCGCAGAGATGGACCCCGAGCAGCCGGCTGTGGCCATCGTCAACTTTATTAACAAAGTCATGCTGGGACCACAGCTACGTAGATGAGAGAGCAGAAGAATTTGAAAACTCTGGACTATTGGGGATGTGGGAGAGATTCTGGCATAATTTTTTTTTTAAAGAAATGTGTGTGTTACTACATTTTTGCTTGCATTCGTGCAGGTGGCATGCCTGTGCTCGGCTGTATGACTGTTTTTATATTTCTGACAGATCACTGCTCCAAAGGACAAAGTATTGTTAATATGTCAGCTTCCAGAGCAGTTACAGAGGAATAGTTTGATAAGCCAAAGACTGACCTACCTTTGGTAAACTTGCCAAATGAGATTCAAATAAGAGTTTTTTTGTTGTTGTTGTTTTTGCTGATGAAGTAATTTTTTGTTTTTCTGTTACAAACTCTTCACATGATGTACAACAAAACTGCATGACAATCCATTTACCACACTGTTATTCTTAAAGTTTCTGTACACCAACATTTAAAGCTCAAGAGACAATGGTTCAGAAGGCCTTCACCAATGTAGTAGAATGTCAGAGTCATGTTTCAAGGTGTAAAGTGGCTGCGATTTTGCTCGCCACGCAGTGTTAGACAGAGTAAAGGAGGTGACTAAATGTAAGAGGTTGTGTATTTTGAATATCTGAGAAGAAAGTGTAAATTCAATCTTCACCAATACTATGAAAACCTAAGCTGAACCTACCTACAATTTAAAACACAGACAGATAGATGACTGAAAAAAAATGTTATGTATTTACACACTACATAAGAAAGTAAAAGGGAGGTTAGCCTCACAACAGAAGTAACTCGTTTAAAAGATCAAGGACAGGACTTGAAAATTTACGAACTCTACAATCTCCACATTTCTAATGTCATTATAAAAAGAACCAGTAGAGACCAGTCTCTCCATATTACTATTTTAGATTTGTTTAATTTGCATTACCTATTTAACCAACCAATATCCACAGTAACATGTAATATGTGTGAGTTATGTTTCAGAGAGAAGTTTCACTTAAAGCCAAAGACTTCATTATTGTGTAAAGATATTCTCATGGTTGATTTTTTTTATCAATATCTTTTCATTGTTTGGCATTTGTGTGTTTTTTATAAACTGAGACAGTATTTAGATGACTTCAGCACAATTATTATTTTTCATAATGGATTTTTATGTAAAAGAAGTAATATATTTTAGGCCTCTGAGGTGGATGACAAAGAATGGTGTATGTCATATTTGACAAGTAAATTAAAGCAATCAAATGAAATCAAATACAAGTGTTTGCTTCATCATTTAAAGGCTTCCTCTCATATATTTTATTACTTATTTGCAGACCAATTAGTACAGTTGTAATTTCCTTTTGTGTAACTTGCCTAAAGCAGATAAAGGTGGTGAATCTGATTGAGTCCAATACTTACCTTCTTATGATATAACTCAGGTATTCTCGCCTTCTGCACTTAATTGTCACCACGAGACAGAACCACCCGTGCCACAAATACTCACACCTTTGACAACACGCAGATCAAAAGGATGAGGTCCCACCGAGATTTGAACTCGGATCGCTGGATTCAAAGTCCAGAGTGCTAACCATTACACCATGGGACCAGACACGCTAGCCAGAAGGGCTTGCCCGTATTTGTAGAAAATAGCCACTGGATCCGTGTCTCAGCGGTTCGTTGTTCTGTGTCATGATTTGAACATGACTTTTCATGTCCTATCAAACAGTATGCTACAAAAAAGGTTAAGGTCTTAATCGAAGTCACACCTACCCCGTGTTTCAGCTATGCTAGTTAGCTCACTGTAGCTAACCGAGCTAACTGATAAGGTAACGAAACTCGCGATGAGTGGTGAAGGAAAGCTGCATCGGAGTGTGAAATCAGATGTAGCTTCATTTTAACATACCCATCCGTCTATAGGAGCAGATGGTCGATCACGCTAGTTTAATCGAGATTGTCCAAATATGTTGTCAGATACATTAGTGGAGGTTTGAGAGTCACGTCAGTTACTTTCAAATTGAGAATTACGTCATTTACTTTCATTTTATGGTAGCAGAACACAGACGTAAAATCTACATTTTACTAGCCTGATCGTGAAATGAATTAAAATGAGATACACTAAATTGATTACAACTACAGATACAAGATACAGATACAAAATGATGAAATGATAGCACAGTATGGGACTTTTGACATTATTGATCGTACAGAGGGCAACGTTACAGTACAAATATGATAATGATCTTGCATCTGCCAAGGTGGTCTGATGACAGTGACTCAGACTGACTCTACAGTGTATAGGCCACAGACAACTGGCCTTTGCGTCCGGCAGGGCTGGTGACACCCCAGATCATGTTTTGCACTGGGGCCATCATTTCATCATGTTGACAGGGTTGCTGGATTGACTCTTTTTAACCCCGAGGGCTGGCCTTTGCGTTTGGCTGGGCAAGCAAAGCCCCATGTTGCCTTTGCATCTGGCTGGGCTGTTACATTTCAGGAAGTGTCTCATACTTTTTTGGGCTTTCTTGTACTATCTCTTCATTTTGGCACATTAGGTTGATCGACCTTTCTCTCACCCTCAGGGCCATCCTTTGCGTCTGGCAAAGCTGGCGATGCCCCAGGTCAGCCTTTGTGTCTGGCAGGGTTGTTGACACCCTGTGCATGTAGGCTTTGCATCTGGCAGGACAGGAACTTGCAGCTTTGTCGATAGGAGAGAGAACATGATGGGGAACAAGGCTGCGAAGATGACATAAAACCTAGGACTTTACTTTTGACCCTGACCTTTTGCTGCATGTCATCCACTCTCTCTTTCCCCAACTTTCCTGTCTCTCTCTCACTGTGACTGTAATAAAGGCAAAAGATATTTTGTTTGGGGCCCAGTGATGCATATATCATACTGGCCTCCTCTACAGTTGGAGTTTAGTGAGTTCATGCAGCCAGGAGAACTCTAACCCTGATTTAACAGAGGAGAACTTCTACTACTTGAGCCACTGCCATTGACTTAATATGACCAAAGGTGAGTATGAGTTTCTGATTATTAGAAAACACTGGGCAGAGAAAGTAGAGTATGTGATTGTCAACAACAACCCACAATAATTGAAGATAAGATAATTGCAGATTACTAGTCTTGATAACGATTTTTGTCTTACTTTACTTTTATCTTATCCTACCACCTGAGCTGCTGCTTTTCACTGTGGACAAGAACGTATGAGCACTGACTTGTGGAAAGAAGGTGAAAGTAATGTATGCTACTGGCAAACACTACATACTGTATATATATTCATATAATATCACTTATTTAGCAATTCAAAGATTATTTGTGTTTCCAACTAACCATGGATTATTGTTCTCTTCTTATTCTACCACATGAACTACTGCTGCTGCTCACTGTGGACAAAAAAGGTAAGTATGAACTTCTGACTTAGACAGAAAGTGGCCAACCATAGTCTAAAATATAAAGACAGAGATAGTAATATTATGTAAACTTGCTATATACTGTATGCTACACATTTTTATACATATCATATTACTTATTTAGTTATTCACTGATCATTTGTCTATCCTTCTAACCATTATTTATCTCTATGTTCTCTCTCAAAATTCAAATTCATTTTTATCCATACAATAGTGACAGTAAAAATTTTGTAATTCAAAGATTATTCATCCAACCAACCCCTATTTATTTTTCTCTCCTCTTATCATACTCCACCACCTGAGCTTGCTGCAACCTGACTCAATACTGTATGCTGTATCTGTGTATGCATATAATATTACTGGTTCAGTAATTCCAGTTTATCTTACTAACCATCATTTCTATTTCTCTTATCTTACTCCACCACCTGAGCTGCTGCCATTTACATAATACAGGAAAAATGTATGAAAGCTTTGGAAAGAAAGTGACCCAGAATAGGATAATAGAGTAATATAAAGATAGAACATAATGTATGTTATGTTGTTAACTCAATATATACTGTATGCTATACCAGTTTGTTCAAAGTCAAAGACTGTAAATTTTACTTACTGTTATTTGTCATTCTCTGCTCTTATCTTACTCTACCACCTGAGCTGCTGCTGTTCACTGTGGACTGAAACGTGAGTGTAAGCTTTTGACTTGTAGAGAAAGTGACTTGAATAGGCCATAATACAGTATACGTACAGAGAAAGTAATAGAAGTCATCTGTCAACTAGCTACACACTGTAAGCCTCCCCTGTTTATCCATGCCATATAGTATCACGTATTCACAAATAATCTTTAAATAACTTGTCTCATAAACCATTATATATGGTTCCTCGCTGTTGTCCTATTCTACTGCCACAATGATTTTTGCCAATCATTGTGGGAGATACAAGCTTCTGACATGCAGTAAAAGTAAAATGGGCTATAATTTAAAGACTGAGACAATAATATACTGTATGTGCAAACTGGATACATACACTGTGCTGTACCTGTTTATGTATATGATATCACTGATTATTTATCTTTGAATGATTGATTATATTTCTCTACCTTCATCTTAACTCCACCACCTGAGCTGCTGCCATTCATACAAAGGTGAGAACAAGCAGGTATGATGTAAAAGTGACCTGGAACAGGTTGTAATATAAATACAGACTAAGGAGTTTGAACTAATTAATAATGTCTTATATTCTTTATCTTAACTTCTTACTACACTGCCTGAGCTGCTACAGTCACTGTGAATGAAAAGGTGTTTATGAGATTTTGATCATATAATAAAAGAAACTGAAAAAATTGGTACAATGCAGCCATTTGTCCTTATATTATCACATACTAAAGTTACTTTAGTTCATTTTCTCTGTTAATTTTGCTCTACCACCTGAGATTCTGCCATTTACAAAGAGTGGGAGGGAAAGTGAGTACATCTAGAGAGAAAGTCATCTAGACTAGGCTGTAATAGAAAGACTATGAAAGAATTATATTTTATTTCGTAAACTAGGTTCACATGCTCATCCATACTGTCAATCTAATGCCCCGTGTTTAATAATTCAAACATTATTTGTCTTACTGAACCTCCCATTCTGATCTTATTCCTATTTTCTGTCTACCACCTGATAGAATGAAATTAGAATAGGCTGCAATATAAGGACAGAGAATGTAATGTATGATGTTGGGAAAACTAGCTGCATACCATTTGCTAAATCTGTTTACTATATAATATGATGTTATATTATTCACCACCATCTTTGTCTGTTACTCTATACCACCTGAGCTGCTGTCAAGTACAAGCTTCTGACTTGTAAAGAAGGTGGCCTATGATAGGCTATAATATAAAAATATATATAAAAACAGAGAAAGGAATGTATATGTGTGAACTAGCAACATATGCACCAGTTTATACATATACAATCTCTTCATCAATAATTCAAGGATGATTTTTGTCTTGCTAAATCTGTTGTACTTGCTGTGTTTTTCCAGAGATGTAGAGTGTTTACCAGACACAAGTAAGTCTTGGACAAACATAAAAGATACTGCTGAGGTCAACATGTCGATATTGACTTGTGAAAACATTATGTTTATGTTATAGTGGCTTTTGCATGTTGTGGCACTGCGTCAGGCTGTGTTGATGCACGTGATGCAGCACTATAGTTATGGATTGTATCTGCACCTTTAGCTCGTAGCTGCTGCAACAGTCCTGAACACCACCCAGAGGTGGGAAGGGGAGAGGAATGTGTATGGTTTTCCGCCCCCAGAGCCCCCACAGTGCCTCCCTGTGGCAACACACTGTAACAGGACATTACATGACCAAACCAAGATGCCCTACAGGCTGATCTGTAGGGCATCTTGGAGCAGTAGCAGGCCCCGGAGGTGTGCTGTGTGGATACACCCTGGCATCACTCCAACCACTGTCCATACATAGGTCAAATGGACCTTTCTGCTGGTGCTGGTCTATCACCCAATCCATCTATTGGGGCAAAGGATAAAATGCATCAGACAGACCCCAGTAAACACTGTTTTACTCTCCACTGCAGTAAAAGCGATGTATGACAAGTCCCAGGCCCGGGCAATTCACCTGTTCTGCTGTGCAGGCAACTCACCTTTCCTCTGTCTGCAGGAATATTCGCACCACACCAACTAACACCCAGGAAGTGACAGCATTTGAAGTGACATCTTGAAGTGCGTGCAGGGGGTCACTTGGCATCACAGAAGAAATGATCAACCCTGACCTGATCAGAAATGACTGACCACTTGACAAGCTGGAGAGCAG